CTCTGACTTACGACTGGCCCCAGTGTCCCGCTTGGAAAGGGTTCTTCTACTTGGGCCTTCCCTTGGAGCACGAGTTGTTGGGTGCACGGTGACGACATTGTGATCCGATAGACCAAACGGCCGTAAAATCTGTACGGAATTCATATCGTACAAATCTGGTTGATTGGTTAAGACCAAGTCCAGGATCTGATCACCCCTAGTGGGCTTGTTGACCAATTGCCGCAGTCTGAATTGTGCAGCTAAACGATTCACCTTTAACCGATTGAAATCGCCGCAGAGTAGAATCCCGCAACCTGGGAATTCTCCCTCACCAGTAGTAAAAGTTGCTGATAGATAGTCTAACAAAGCAGTGTCTCTGGCGCTGTCGTTGAAGAAAGGATGGTAAGCTGTATTTGGTCAACGTCTTAGAGTTTATTATTATATTGGAAAAAATTATACCAAAATTAAAATGGAGGTGCTGTAGGGTGGGAGGAGGGAGGGGGAGGGGTTGAAGAGAAGACCACAGAAATCTTCAGGAGCAGAAAAAGAAAGAAAGGGAAAGAAGGCAATAATCCGAACCTTCAAGGGAAATAGAAAAAGTTCCGCGTTATCGGGAGTTCGAGTTATCGAGGATAAAATTATATAGAAAATGATCTGAAGGAAAATGAAAATTGCTTCGAGTTAGTGGGAGGTTCGACTTATAGAAGGTTCGAGTTACCTGGAGTCGACTGTATATAAAAAAAAATTATAATAATAAAATAAGCAAACAAAACAAAAAAAAACAACGAAAAAAAAAGAAGAAGAAGAAAGAAAAATAAAGGGTAATAAGTAGGATTCAAGCTCCTCACTTTCGCCTTGGCGCAACTTATCCTTACCACTACACTACTGAGGATGATTGCGTAAGTTAGGTGAAAAGTCTTAAGTTTAAAGCTGATCAAGCCGTATTAAACACGAATTCAAAGGTATACTCAGGAAAATAACCGGGCTATTGCCAGTAAAAAAAAACAATGTAAAAGCATTTCATGATGGCAATAAAAGAAAATATACCTAACCAGGAGCAGGGTCCTGACCCAACAAAGCCGATGCAACTCGTTTGCGAAGTAGTACGCAAAACATGTTTCCTTACCTAGATTTCCGCTGATATTTTGAGACCAATGGTCCAAATCACATCCATTTTCTGTAAAAAGTAACACTACTTTTGAAATTTGTCGCTAACAGCATTTATTGACCTCTTAAACGGCCGCAAAAGCACCGAGCCAGGTTGATGGGGATTTTGTTTACTCGCTGCCTTGTTGCTAGGCAACTGCTTTCACCCAAATCGATAGAGAGAGAGATCTGTGACCAAAGCACGATCACGCTTCGCCGAGCTATTGTCTTGCACGTTGTCCCGGGCGACAAATTTATAAACTCGCTTCGGTCGCAGCCTTACGGCCGCTAGCTTCGCGAGAAGTACATCCGCAATTCCAAAGGTAAACCACAGGCGGCACAGATGTAATGTGTGTTAATAACATGGACAACATGGGATGAGTCGTCGAAACTCCCATGAACTAAAATAGTCCAATACTTTCATTTTTGGACTATTTTAGTTCAAGGGCGTTTTGACGACTCATCCCATTTTGTCCATGTTATTGACACACACTACGTCTGGGCCGCCTGTCGGTAAACAAGCACTGGGTAAACATTAGAATGTACTTACTAATACCCGATTTCTGCTAGTCTTGGTTTACAGAACAGCTCAAAAATATATATCAGTCATTTTAATCGTATTGTCATTCATACAGATCTTAACACCGCATAGAAAATAAATATATGAAGAATCTAACATGATAATAAATTAAAGATGAATATAACACCTTTTACTAAAAGTTGAATCATTGGATAATGCAATTCTAGAGCTCTTCCGGTGGCTTAGCCATCATGTTATATGAGCCATTATACCAAGCTCTCCAAACATGGTAACTGTACGCGTCTCCCAAAATTAAAAACAAGCTAAAAATCGGTTGTCTTTACAAATAAAGTTGGGAAGAATTCTCGATACTCTGTGGGCGTTTTTAATAATTAAAAAGACAATTATTCCACTTGCAGTAGTTGGATATTTGATGATTATAGCCAACTCGGCACTACGCGCCTCGTTGGCTACTACCATCTCATATCCTACACGCACTCGTGGAATAATCTAGTGTTAAATATGTGAGAGGACTACGTCAAAAACAACTACGTTTCTGCCAAATGCAAACTGAAAAAATGCCTCTGGCTATTTCCATTTCTCACGTATTCGGGAATTTCATGTATAATTTATTGATTCAACGCCAACTTCTTAAAAGCAGATGCTGTTACAGAAAAAATATCACCCGAGCGGCTTAAGCTCGCGTTGAAGTCAAAATTTCCTGAACCTTGTGCCGTCACCTTAAATCATAAATGTTTAACAAGAAAAAATACATATTTTTAATTTTCTTACTGTTACGCTGCCCTTACTCTAAGCTAAATTAAATGATGGCAAGTATTAAAGCTTCTGCCAATGATCCTGATTCTAATTTAAACATGTTATATTATTGGCTTGTTTTGTGTTCTATTAATGGCATTTTGACGGCTTTAATTACCAACTATGAGATGAAAGCATTCGTGTTTCGACTGCAAAAACATCCCCATTCACCTGTCATTTCCATCCCACTTTAGTTTGAGAAAAGCATAAGACACTGCAAATTTGCGCAAAAACAAAAATGTTTTTCGGTGCATTAAGTTTGGTGATCTGGACATCTGTAGTATACCGAGTAACTGCAAATTTACAACAATTTGAGCTTTATCGGGATCAACAAATTGTTTTTGGAAACTTCAAGCCGAATCAGGGCTACAAATTATCCGCGACACAAATCTCGTCTTACTTGGTTACCGATGTATTTGACTGCACATTAAGCTGTATTAGCGACTCAAGGTGCAAGTCGATCAATTTTGCGGTAAACCCAGACTCTAACAATCTTCATGTTTGTGAATTGTTAGACACTAACAAGTACCGGGCCGCTTCAGGTGACTTTCAAGTAAATGTCGATTTTCTTCATTATAGCCCCCACGTGAGTAAGGTATCGAGAGCTCAATTTTTTAACAGTTTTTCCTTTATACTGACGAACTCATATTATTAGGCTAAAATTCAACGGTTTTTTAGTTAACCACTGGCTGGTTCGCTGATTAATGTCTCTATCTTTGTTGTGCAGTTTAGGTCAGTCCACAGTTTTTTGATACAATGTCTTTCTTTAGTATAGTTTCCCAGCGGGGAAGTAAACAGAAAAAAACTATTCACTCAGTTTTTAACTTTAACTTCCTATTACAGGCTTCGTGTCAACGAGAATTTGTTGGCATCCAACGCGAAAGGAAGGGTAAGTTGCGACCACATACATTGCCAACGAAAATTCTGTAAATGTGTCATGCAAACCATTACCCTGCGAGCAGTGGTTTAACCATCGACTGCGCATGTGTTTGTACCTTTCCCTTTTGTACTTACACAGAAGCTCTCGACTGTATTTTTAGCAGTGACCAAAATTTGCCATGAGAACGTTTTTTATTGTTTTCTCTTCTGCCCCCAAAATGGAGTCTTTAGCTGAGCCAACAGTTGCTATGACTACCAGATATGAAAGAACAGTGGGAAACCCTCAAAATACGCAAAACGGTGTAAATGCGTCATACTTGAAAATGGTTAAAAGTTTCCTTGTGGCCCAATTTGAAGAAGTCTAGTAGATGTAACTGTAAATGAATCCTTAGCGAGTAGCATGTGATGATTCGTAGCCTTTCCCTTCTAAACTGATAAAACAAGAAAACAAACGAACAAAAAAAAACTGCTTAGCTAGAAAGTAATTATAGTAAACAAATCTCTTCTACCTTTTTTATACACTTTTCTAGTACCTTTTTTAACACACTGGAATCAGGGGCACCCAACGAGAATATAGTTCACAACCACTTAAACATAGCATTGTTAAACGTATTTTAGTATTTAAACGGTAGATATAGGCATATTTTTATCCCCTAAAAACTTTTCATCTGTTCGGATTTCCTAGCTGAAAGTCTAGTGATCCGAAAATTATAGGGATCAAAACTTACCTTTTCGAAAATTTCAGCGTGGAAAAGGCTCCCGAAAATTCTAGGTGGCCATTTTTAGGGTAAATATCCGTTTAAAATGGGTAATTATACCATTTTGTAGATGTTCGAAAATCTTAGGAGAGGCAGGCAAGCAAGAAATTTTACAACAAATGTTCCGAAAATTCTAGTTCTCAAATCGTCTTCCGAACAGATATTTTCCCAAAAATTGCCGTTGGGTGCCCCTGTTTTCTTTTCATTTCTTTATCATAAATTAGCATTATTATTATTATTATTATTATTATTATTATTATTATCATTATTATTATCTCGCAGTATAAAACTTTGGAATGCTGTCCACATTATGAGTAGTATAGGGCGCATAACAAAACCTACACCACTCGAGAAGCTATACTTAGAAGTAGAAAAAGTTCGGTACGAAACCTAATACAATCCTAATATACATAATTATATGAATCGCTGTACTTAAAAAGCCAATTTCGAATATTATTAAATTCTCATACTCTGTAAAACCTACTCAAAGACATGATGATATAATTATCTCTACTAGAAGCCTATTTAGAAAATAATTCAGTTTTTACACTCTCATTTTCTCTAATAAACCTACACGAGACCATCATAATTTGGTTATCTCTTCTAAAAGCCTATTTAGAATAATATCAAACTCTTATACTATCAACCTCGTTCCCAGGGTTCTCTCCTACCCGAGAGAACCCTGGGAACGAGGTTGTTATACTATTATTTTTTTTTTGAAGTATTATTTTTAAATAGTTTTTTTTTAATTAACTTTTTGATGTTTTTTATAATTGTTACTAGTTGTCTTTAGATAGTCATTTTACGACAATTCTCTTTCGTACACAAGAAGAATGTACATAGGGTATATATTTTAATATTTCATATTCTTGAATCTGTAAATAGTCTATTTTTTTAAATCTATGAATAAAGTTTTGTATTTAAAAAAAATTATTATTATTATTATTATTATTATTATTATTATTATTATTATTATGATGGTTATTATAATCCTCATTAAACACAGCTTCTGTATGGCTTGCTGGAGTCATCGTCCGCATGTGTGCGATGGGGCGGACGAATCCCTTGAACACCTTTTTAGTTCTTGCCAGATTACTCAGAGTTTTTGGGCAGAGGTTATTAAATGGTGTAACAATCGGGGGGGGTTATTAACCACATCTCAGCTAAAGATATATTATTTGGGAAAAAGGTACATAAAGACAATATATTTATTAATCATATTTGGCTAGTTGGTGAGCAGAACATATATAATTGCAGATGCACGAAAACAAACCCATGTTTACGGGTTTTCTTGGCAAGACTCAATTACGTTTATCAGTTAGAAACCATCATTGCCAAATCGAAGAATAAAATGTCTTTTCATTTATGCAAATGGCAAGCTCTCTTGACAGGTGGTACACAATTGCCGATAAATACTTGTTAAGGTTTAGTAGTATTGATACTGTCGTTGTGTGTCGTGTGTGCTGTGCGTGCGTGTGTGAGCTATTTGTGTATTATTTATTTATTTATTATTTTATTTTATTTATTTATTTATTTATTTATTTTAATTGTAATGTCGGTAATTTATGTAAAATTAGTGTTAATAAACAGTGATTAAATTACCAAAAAAAAGTCCTTAAAGATCAAGTCACTGCCCGGTGACCTTAAGTGTCCAATTCTTTGCGAAGGAGTCTGGCTGTACCCAGTAAGCACGCTCTCTGCAATGAATCCAAACGACATTTTGATGCTATAGCTGTAAAGCTCCTTTTGTTCATTCGATTCTTATCTTTTCGCACGTCTTGTGTTTAACAATTCAGGAAAAAGCTGCAGTGAAATAAAATTGTGCAGTCCACAAGCCACAAGCGGCGCCTATGTTATCGACCCTGATGGAGAAGGAGGCTACGAACCTTTCACCGTCCATTGTGACATGACTGACAAGAACGGAGTTGGCGTGACAGTTGTTGGCCACGACAGTGAAACCAGGACTCTGGTTAATGGATATGGTCCCCCAGGAAGCTACGTACGTAATGTCCATTACATAGCAGTAGGCTTGACTAATGTTCCACAATTGGCTGGTCTTCTGAAAATGTCTGCAAATTGCGAGCAGTTTATCAAGTATGAATGCCATGGCTCTGCCCTCCATTCCAATGGTAGCCCAAATGGCTGGTGGGTATCACGTGACCTGATACAAATGACATACTGGGGTGGAGCCTCCCCGTCTGACTTCTACAAGTGCGCATGCGGGGTGACAAATTCGTGTGCAGACAGCAGCCTCGGTTGTAATTGCGATAAAAATGATGATACATGGCGTGAAGACAGCGGTCTTCTTACAGAAAAGTCCCACCTCCCTGTTTTGCAATTGAAATTCGGGGATACAGGGGGATCCAGCGAAGAAGGTTACCACACGCTGGGAAAACTGAAGTGTTACGGAATTGCTTGAGTTTTGGCGAGAGACTCTCCGTTATCAATTGTATTACTGTAATGTCAATACAACATCTTGCTAACTGTTACTGTAAAGGCATCAAAAGGGATTGTATCATATACTGTCTTAGTTTGTAATTTTTGCTAAATGCCTTTTTTTCTGAAGTTGTAAAATCTTGAAAAAAAAATGGTTTGTTTACCGTAAAGCCGAGACACATTTTTTGGGGAAAAAAATAAGGTAGCAGATTTAACATTGTCTTTGTCTAATTGCACAAAATAAACAATTTAGCTCTTAGAGTGAAGGGAGCCTTTTGAACTTTCATTTTGAAACCTGTCATTTCCTATTGAAGGTAATTGACTATTTGTAGTTTTAAACATCTAAGTCAAGTCACTTTTTATTTTTTACAACGAACCTAGCAAAATTTCAGTCACTGTGAAAAAGGGCCAAAATGCAGATTTTTTTTAGTACGATAGAAGCATGGAGAAATAGATAGACCGACGCGAAGAAAAAGACAGAAGAGAAAAAAGCAATGGTTGCACTCTTAGGGTGGATTCATTTGCAACATACGCGTATAGCTGTATAGGTTACAGAAATCCTCACCTGTCCAGGATCATCAACAACAACAACAACAACAAAATCAATGGAAATGGCGTTTATTTCCTTTGATTTTATCCTTAGGTATCACTAACAGGTTGAGTTACATGTGTAAGATAGAGAAAGTTACACATTCGATCAATCGGATTTTTTTTTTCGGCGTTTTCGTTATTGCAAAATTTCAGTCTTTCTAATAAAGCTTACTTTTCGCGAAATTTTTGCCCCAGTCAATCAAAGATAAAGACTCAAAAAGCCCGGCATAAGCCATGTTTAGACAATGGCAGCCACAACAACGCACAAACTCCCGAAGAAGAGCGCAAACGTTGAAGCAAGGAGGCGCTCACTTGCGGCACTATCATCTGGTTTCTCGCGACAATTTGACTTCTTGGGAGGGAGGGGTTCAGTGATCTTTGGTACTGGTACAAGCAATTTGGGATTCTTCGTGTCCTGGTAAGAAGAAGAAGAAAAAAAACGTATAAATCTGTGAATTAAAAAAATGATGATTAAAAAATGAAATAAAATAAAGCTGTTTTAAAAACGTGGAGAAACATGATTAAAATCAGCGACAAGAAGAAGAAAGAGAGAGATTTGTAGTTGTCAAAAGCACGGCACGGGAGTCAGAAGACTTTCTCGTCCTGTGTAGATTGTACCTTAATCATCTTTCAAAGTAAAAATAGGTGACACAATAAGCAATGCCAGGGTTTGGTTCCATACTGGCGATTTAAAGCCGAATTTGCTGATGTGTCAATAGACCAACATTGCCATAATTTCTTTACAGTCTACGAAGAGTCTCCGCTTTTATCAGTTTTATTGACAGGGGTACTTTGTGATAGTCGTAATTTTACCTTTCGTTTTTGCTTGTTCATTATTTTATAACTATTTTACCCACAGAAAAATCTAATACCGCATACACACTTAATGGTAAAAATAATAAATGAAAAATCAAAGGTGAAATAAATAAAACAAGTCAAAAAAAAAAATTATTGGCAAACCCAGAGCAAACCGAAGGTATTCGTTAATTAATTTCAACCCGTGTAGTGAGACGCTTACGAGAAGAGATACGGTAACCTTTACACTAAATAAGGCCATTCCCGAGTGGACTACATGATCATGACAAGACTTGAAAATTTCATGATCAAAGTATATTAAATTTACCTCCACTGTCGTATCCTTGGAAAGGCGACATCTCGGGAAAACGTTTTTCACTTCACTTTCGTACTTTTTAAAGTCAGAGGCCATTTCATCAGTCCAATCAATGGTCATATTGACAAGAGGATTGTGCATCCATGAGGTGACGTTCGCCTTGTCGCTTTAAAACGAAAAGAACATGAGGAAAAATATTAAACAATTATTGGATGAGGTTGAGCATGATATCATGAATTATCAAAACCGAGGTCTGTGTTATCTGCCGAAGCCGAAGGCTGAGGCAGATGATACAGACACGAGGTTTTGATAACTCATGATATCATGCGAAAACCGAATTCAATAATTGCTTTATTATACATTTTTTAAACAATAGGCAAAAGAAGACATTCAGCCATTCTGTTTCTGAGGAGAACACTCCAAGGGGCTTGGTAACCAGGAAGACGTTGAACTTGACATGATAAATGCAATATCTGCAGCAGATATTGCATTTATCATGTCAAGTTCACAAGCTATTGTGAATTGATTGAATGCTCTCGACCAATCAGATTTTTCATAGTGATTCTGATGTATAATAAATAATAATATACCACTAAAAATATATAGGCCATTGCCGAGTTGCCCATACCTCTGTGTTAAAGCGAGGTTAAGTACGAAGCCAGTAAAATAATATGAAAAATATTTTTCATTTTTTATTCTAATGCAAATAAAACGCATTTTCACATCAAAAGCGAAAAGAGGAAACACTAGCCACTATTATAGTTCAAGAATGACGATGATAAAATCTTCCGTTTATAAAAGGTGCTGGTCTCGAATCTTGTCCCAGTCCCTTCGCGTAAAATGATCATTCAACCTTTGTCGTCAGTTGTTGCAATGAAATGCGCACGGTGACCTAACCCCCACCCTTCCTTTGTATTGGTGTTTACTGATCCAACTTCCTAACACATTCTCAAGAACGAGCGACTTTAAATCGTTTTAATGAAATACTACAATCCACACAAAAAAATAGGCCATTGTAAAATTCATAATAGGTTTGAGAATGTTTTATGATTATTTAAGTTTCGACATTTCGGGCGGAGACCCTGAAAAACCCATCTATTTATTGCCATCTTCAAGATCCTATACATGTCTTGCTTGTGCCAAGTTTGTAAAACGAAGTCTGAGCATTATATCCTTTTCATGAGCATTATCTTAACCAGAGGTCATGAAGCATAGCCATGTACGATCGATCAATCTGACACAAAGCTTACACAAACTAAGATGACTAAAAAAACAAAAAAACACAGACACACACTGATCGGAACGCATATAACGTCCAAGATTGGCAGAAAACACCAATTTGGATCTAAACTTGTATCTGGGAAAAAAAAATCAGTTCTCACAAACGCATCCACCTTTAAAAAATTTGTTGATTTTCTAAGCAATTTAAATCCTCTTCTATTCTTATTAGGGGCGGAGACGGACGCAAAAACATTAGATTCTCTTAAAACGTTAATTGGATCCCATAATCAGAAAACGTCACTGCTTTCATTCCAACTTCCTGAATTTCTCAACTTTAGGCAAAATCTTCAGAACTGGACAGTACCCAAATACATACAATGCCCCATTAGAAAAAAATCATGTCGTAAAAAAGCGGAAAACTACAAAAACATTACATTCAAGAAAATTGAGGTGTAGGTGAATAGTTGTTGTTTTGCTTGTTTCCATCAGGAAAATTTACGTCATAGTCCTGCTGTCGCCGTTGCTGTCACTTCGTATATATAAGCCCCCTTAAATGGGGTGCAGAAACGTTCCTGTATAAAATGAACACAACTTGGCTGAAAAAATGTAATACTTACAAATACTTATCGATGAGTTTATAAGAAGAATCAAAATGGATACTCTGACACTTTCTGAAGCCGCCGTTTGTTATACGTGGGTAATAGAACATGAAGTTCAAGCACATCTCATCTCTACTTGAAATTCCACCCTGGATAAAGGAATAATAATAAACCGGGGATAGAATAAAGTGACTCATGCGAGTGATAGATATAATAACGGCTCAAATAACACTTGAAATAAACTAGAAATGTCGCTGCTTACAAAATTTTGGCGGGATTAAGGTCGCAGCGCACGATAGGAAGATTGAGTGTAACTGACCGTCGAATATGCAACGGCTCTTCTGTATTCTGATTAGCTGTATTTTCTAAGGCATGGTATAAAAAAGGACATACGGACGGAAAAACTTGAAGAAGATTGAAACAGAATGAACTAATGGTTTTTGAAAACTTGTTAGCCTAACTAGTTTTTCAAAGTTCATTTCTGTCGTTTGTAACGTGTGATATGGTTCGATATAATGCTTAGAAGACAATTTGCTTTGATGACACGAAGCTGGAATTTTGTCATTCACAAGTACATGTAATTACCAAGTTTCCATAGAGCACAAAGCCCCGTAGTTGACAACCGTGACGACCCCTTAATGCCAAACAGCACTTTTTCGTCGTCGTTGCTATCTTAGACTACATGGAAAATTTAATATAATTAGAATGGCACTGGGCGGCTGTTTCTTCCCAAGCGAAATATGTTAAGTAAGACATACACATAACATGGCATGTAAGACTTACATAGATTAGTTTATTGCGATCCATTGAATCGTACTTGCAATAATGGATCAAGTCATCTCCCTAGAAACAAGTAAAAAAATATTAGAATGCAATCATAAAAAAGGAACAGAATACCTTGATTATTGGTACTTAGTTTCGGTGGCCTCTTAATTTCACGTTTTTGCGATTGTAATAAATTCGTGAGATTAAAGACCCGCGAAAATAGATCCTCGCGAAATTAAAGCACACAAAATTTAATTCCCACGTAGAAAATTAAAAACACAGAAAAAATTATTTACATAGTAATAACATATACAAGATACGTATCGAAAAATACACAAATTGTTTACTGGTTTTACTGCTACGCTCGATTTTTTTTAATGACGTTTACTTAATTTGCAAAGATTTTCCACATTGCTTGTTCCAGTTTATCTAGAAATTGCTTAAAACTTCAGACTTAAAATGACGTCGAGAACGCGAAATCGCGAAATTTAATGCTCTTTTTTCATATTTGGCTGTTGAAATCGCGAAAGTAAAACCCCGCGAAATAATTTTTCACCAAAATCGCGAAATTATATGCCAATAAGGTAGGCGCGTCAACTTCCAAGCCGAGCCAACGTTTTTTTTTTTTCTTTTCATGGATTCTAAACGGTTTGACACGTTTTGTGAGGAAACGAAAAGAAGACTTGCCCAGGGTAGCTTGGCCGGTAGGCGGGTGACACTTATACCCAGGACAAATAAACTAAGCCTAAGGGCTCTCCTCTTTTATAAAAGCTGGTACACAGCTTATTGTACTTTGCTAATCAACTTTATCTTCGATAGATTTGCTAGCCATGGCAGTTTAACATGCAATTAAACTTCCAGCGTAGGCTAGTCCATGCACCGTCAAAAACAAGCCTTGACGCGCGGTTAGACTTTTCGAAGTCTTATTCGGTCCTATTTAGGTATTTCTTAAAACCGCCAAAAGATATTTTCGTCTCTTATTCCTGCAACTACCTAGTTACCCTTTCACTATTCAAAGCCTTCATTTACTCAGTCAGAACTAATAGCGTAAAAACCTTCACCTCTGTGCGCGCTTTGGTCAAAAAGAAGGAAAATTTTTGACATCAGCCATAAACAGTCTGTTATACATTACAGAAAATGATCAATCAGGCACGGGATATAGTGTATTAAAAAAGGGAAAGGTTTTTACACTCTGTACAGGCCTTGGTTATCAAAGGATTAAAGTAGACTAAAATTTCCTCTGAATTAGTCGTATTCATCTCACCCTAATTTTGCTGCAGCCATTTTATATGACATGCTACAAAAGAGGGTAAAGGGGCAAGAGAGTTAATCCCCGGCCCATATAGACCCTATGCTAGCAATGTTAGGATTTATAGAATATTAGAAAATGTTTTTTTCAAAATCAGTCGGATTTTATTCGCAAATGAATTGACGCGTTATGCCTAACAACGACCTAACAATACAGTACGTGGTCCTTGGTCCGGACGAAAAAGACGTAAATGAGTATTTTTTATCTTAGAAGAGGAGCAGTGAGCTGAAATTTGTCCTGAAATTTGTCCTTCCTAGTGGCAACGCCGCCAAAGTGCTACTGTAACAGCATTCACCCGCTAATCCACCCAGCTACCCATGGTAACTTTTGATATGTTAAAATCCTTTTTCCGGATGAAAATGACTGAAATTCAATTTTCCTGATTTCAAAAACGACGCTGATAAAGACACGGGTTCGATTAGCAACCTCTGCGACGGAAATGACTCCGAGTATATTTCCGTGAAGCTCGGGAAGGAATGTCGGAGGATTAGAGCATCAGAAATTGAGCATAGAGGGCAGTCATAATCTAACAACATAGATAAAGACAATGATCAAATAGAACAGTAACCGAAACTACTGTTACTCACTGGCTGAATATTGATTTCCTTTCTAAAAACTTGTATGTCCTGTAAAGCAAAGTGTAAGATCAGCAAATCCATTACTATAAGCATATCTTAACGCTCTTTGGTATTCTTGGGACAGTCTCAAGGACTAAGAAAAGATGGCATGTTTCACTGCATAAGACAAACGGCTTTGTATATTTTAAACGAACATAATCAAACCTGAAAATTGAAGTCGTAATTGTTATCCCGTCCAATCTCAGGGAGTTCTTTCCCGTTTCGAACATGTTTGGTCCAGATAGCACGACCTACCACAACAGGTACAAGCAAAAACAAAACGATTAACGCAAAAAAAAAGCAAAAAAAGTCAGTCTATCGTCAGACAAAACTGAAACTCCTGTCTCATTCCCTCCCTTGGAAAATATCAAAATAGGACAAGTTTTTGTTCTGCAAAAATGCTGTACTCCATATGAAGAAACATTTAAGGCTTCGTGTTTTGTTTGTTTCTTATTTGTTGTTGTTGTTGTTGTTGTTGCTTTGTCAGTCTCTCTCTTATACTGGCGTCGTTGCATCGTAGAAAGAATACACCAGGATGACAATACAAGCCGCTTCTTTACGTTAAATTTGGTCGTTATATCCTTGTATCTCTTTGCGTCAGAAGGCGCAAAGGCCTTTTTGTTAAATGTGTTTGTGCTAATATCTACGTCATACGTTACACCAAAACAAAAATCTGCAGACTGGTGCCCTAAACCGGCCAATAGAGCAAATTCAGTGGGTAACAAGGAACATGCGGGTGTGCATAGTTACTGAAGAATAAACTTCCTATTGTATTACTTACCTGCCAGGTGGGTGTGCAGTAAACCAGCAAATACGTTGATTCCTCCTCCTGGTAAGTTTGTCGATTTAAGACTGGACTGAAGATGAACGACACTTGTTAGAACTCCTTCACCTACGGTGTAATCTATGCCGTTATTTTTGGTTTGTTATTAGGTGAATTTCCACTGTCGAGTACTCTTACGAGAGTGCCTAAATTTGTTACGCCCGTAAATACGATAGAGGAAATGTGTCAAGCGTAAACGTCAAAGTTGAGCGCGTATCAACTTTTACGTTTTCGCGCGACCTTCCATACGTTGCCTTCATTTTATTCACCCACTTTAAATTTCCCGACAGCGGAAATTTACCCTATCAAAACCTGAAGAGTCAAATGGGTTGCAACCGGGCTCTATGGACTGTACCAATTAGTACATGTAGTATCCTGAGTTTCCATTTTTATAACCCTTAGAATGAGACAAAACACTTGTTGTAAACAAGCATTAAGGTGTTGCAAAACAGACGTAAACGAACTTTCCGTGACTAAGACGAAATTCTCACGAAAGATAAAATAGAACCCAAACGTTATATGAAAAGATAACAAGTAAATTAAATTATATTTACCCAAAGCAAAAAAGGCAATTCTTCAATTTCGTTTGCTCATTGATTATTATAAAATTTCCTTTCATATTTTTCAGTTGTATTGCCATAACAGTATATATAATTCTCTTCTAATATACCTCACTACACTCATGGGTACAGTAACCGATAGTCATCCAGTTCTTCCGTTTAGGTGGGATAATAAACCACTCATCTACCTTCCTACCCACGCTGACAATTCCACTGTCGTACTCACGAAGCTCATCGGTGTAGTAAAGTGTAACACCAGAGCTATCCTCTTGACCTGAAATAATGAAAGACAGGCGTCCTGTTTTATAGTTCTTCTGTGTGATGTGAAGTATATGAAATAATTCATATTTGAACTGCGGTTGTAGATGAAAGTGAAGAATGATCGTCGCAGTGAATTTTCCAATTTAAGCAATTGGAAAGAAGAAGCCTGAAAAAAATCAGGGCTTCAACGGGATTCGAACCCGTGACCTCCGCGTTGCCAGTGCGTTGCTCTACCAACTGGGCTATGAAGCCACACATTGGGAGCGAGGTCAATTTATTGAGTTCATATCTCCCGTGAGGAGTGAAATGATGTGAAGTATATGAAATAATTCATATTTGAACTGCGGTTGTAGATGAAAGTGAAGAATGATCATCGCAGTGAATTTTCCAATTTAAGCAATTGGAAAGAAGCCTGAAAAATCGACGGGTTCGAATCCCGTTGAAGCCCTGATTTTTTTTCAGGCTTCTTCTTTCCAATTGCTTAAATTGGAAAATTCACTGCGATGATCATTCTTCACTTTCAGTTCTTCTGTGTGTACGTCAGCATAATTTCTACGTTTTGTGTTCGCCAAGTGTAGGTGTATCCGGATCCCTAAGTCTTCTTCTTCTTCTTCTTCTTTTATTTTATTTTCATTTATTTCTTATTTATTTATTTGTTTATTGTTAACGATTAAAATCCGGTTCCACTGACAAGAAATTAAGAATAGGCAGGATCAAGAATCTGGAATCCAGTGAGTGGAATCCAGAATCCAAGACTATTATCTTTGTAATAAGACATGGGGCGAATCAGTATTCTACTCAAATTCACGTCATATCCTTATCTTAATTGAATTTTTACTGATAGCCCCGACGTCATTTACATTTTTGATGTCATTTCCCGATATGCAGAGGCAAATTTTACCATTTTGACACTTTGAAAAGATTAAAAGGCTGGTATAATGACGAATGTCTCAGTAATTAACACAATACCGAATTCTTTATATACCGTAAAATTCCGAAAATAAGCCCCGGAGCTTATAGTTTTCAAAGGCCCTTTTTGAGGGGCTTATTTTTGAAGGGGCTTATATTCGGAGGGGCTTATGTACGGAGGGAAAATTGCGTTTCAAAATCGATTGGGCTAGCGTGTAGTGGGAAGGAAAATTACCATTTTTGCTTTGTTTTACTTTGTATTCGAGGGCAAATTCCAAGTACAAGCCGGCAAGAGGCGACCGGCAAATTCCAAGTACAAGGGGCGATTTAACGGAGGGTTTTTTGCGTTACGATTTTGGGGGGCTTATATTTGGAGGGGCTTATACATGGAGAGGCTTATTTTCGGAATTTTACGGTAGTTTTTTATTCACTCACTGTTGACGTTGTTTTTAATTGTTTTTATTGTTTCTTTTTTTAACTGTTATGTTTTTTATTTCTTAGATGTTTTTGTTTCTCTGTTTTCGCTTTCAAGGACTGAGACGATATGACCCGCTAATCCAGCCACCTTTATTAAACAAGCTTGGCCAATAATTCATTTATTACATGATCGAGAAAAACGTTTTTTGTTGAGGAACCAGCGTAGGAAATCCTGGAAAAGATGGGTGTATCTTGCACGCTTGGGTAACGAATGAGAACGTTTATTTGCACTAATTGTATCCCTGAAATTGTAGCCTCCCACGATGACGTTCTTAGGGCTTCGTCACACCTTCCTGCCTCACGAGCGACTTTATTTTGCGCGCTCGCGGAATAGCCATACAATTAGGACATTTACGGTGCCGCCAAACGGTGTCTGGTTATTGCGCTTTTCAAAAACACGCGAATTCCGAAGTTCAAAAGCTAACTGACGTTTGCGTTTTTCGCTGGCGTCAATCATCTTAGCGGACATTTTAGGAAACAGAACTTTACTTTAATGGGTTCAAAAAGTGATGGTTTGTGAATTGTGATTGGTGGATTTCGATCTATCTTGTACATGTGTGAATTTGTGTTTCAAGGTTCGTTGCTTGGGAAGGGTAATCATAATTGACGGCAGCGAAAAAGCAATTGTGAAAGCGGCTTTTGAAATTCAGAATTCGCGTGTTTTAGAAGGCGCAGTGAGAGAGAAATCATTGTGTACTAGCAAAGATTGTATATTATGTATATTATGTCTATTCTATTTTGTATTTCTTTCTTTTTCTTCTTCTTCCTTTTTTTTTTTTTTTTTTTTTTTTAAATACCAGTCAGTAGCTTATCATACCTACGATGTTTCCTGGGTTATCATAGTGCATTTCTAGTAGAAAATTCCTTGGAGAATCTTTTTCTCCAAGCGGGAAACCAGCATGTGGGGGATAGTAGAAAGCCTGCAATATAACGGGGAAGGAAAAGAATCAACAATAAACAACCCAACAATTTATTCATTAACAAAAAGATTAAGTTATACAAAATTGGATACGCCGCATCCAGTTTAGCTATTAAGCTAATCTAGGCGGGACAAGACAAGAAAAAGGCGATAATAAACAATTATGAGGGGTTAAATTCCACGTACAGTAATTTGTTATTTCAACTATAGTACAACTACTTCAGTTTTATTTTTTTTATTTTTTTTTTTCTTCTGCAGAGTTTTAATTTTACTCATTTAATGATATATTAGTTGAAATAATCAGCATGATTATTTCATCTTCACATAGTTATTTATAGTTATGCCAGTATGTACGGGGCGTTCAAAAGCATCCCCGACTTCATGCCTGATACGGATCAGGCTTCTGTTTAGAGTCGTAACGGTCAGTTAACTCACCACTGCGTGAAGTGTGAAGTCAAATTATTTGTGCGTCAAGCATTTAGCATGAAAGTACTAATTGGGGACACTATTTTTATGGAGCCACCATTTTACATGGTCTTCCGAGCCACGCCAAGGTCTACCCGTTTGCAGGGCAAAGGTAGTACTCATTTCTCAGTTATTTTAAGACCTGGAGTATTGATCCGGTCCCTGAAATCGTAACCGCGACCTCCCATTGTGCAATTAAGCGCTCTACCGACTGAGTTAATACTGCCGCTGTAAAGCTATGTGTCTCCAGTTACATTGCCGAGTCTACCGATAAAGTTCACTAACATTATCATATAGTGGCGGATCCAGACCGTCCGATAACGGGGGGAGGTGGTCATTCAGACCCTGAGATAAGGGAGAGCGGTCTTACAAAAATCTTTTTCGGCCCTTTGGGCCTCAGTTTGGTCCAAAAATAGGGGGGGGGGGCGGGCTCTCCGGCCCCCTCCCCTGGATCCGCCATTGTCATATTATGGAACTAGTCAAAATTAATTCATTATTTTTCTCGACGTGTGTCCCACGGTCCTTCAAGATAAATAACGGAATATTCCTGCAGGCGATCTCATTTCAAATTACCAGGTTTCAGTTGACATTTGACGTGTTTGGCTATGGCTTAATTGAACAGAGAGGTCCATACCTGTCCTCCTACCGCCCAGGCAGCTACAAGACTAGAGTCCCTGCACTTAGCATAGGCCATATTGGGAAGATCGTCGCAGTCGACACCCTTATCAAAATCTTTCTCGACGAAGTTACCCTCGCACTCGTATAACAGGAAATGATGTACGAATCCTTCGTTTCCTTTCTGTATGTAAGGCTCAAACTGAAAATTGAAATCGATAAAAGGTGATCTACAGAGAACGAAAACTGTACTGAAATTCCTAATTCGGAGTTCCGACGCTCTTGACTGCCTTTGAGTTTGTGTTGACGAAAATCATGCTGTTGATTTTTCTTACCCTGGCTGTAGTTTGTCTTTGTCCTTCACTTTTTTTAATATGGGCAAACAAGGATGAATTTTGTTTGAGGGAATCTCCCTAAAAACTACAATGATGAGCTATTGGCTGTAGATGTGACTAATGGTAAGATTTTAAAAAGTCAAATAAAATCGGCCCCTTAATTGTCCTATGTCCTTGTTTTATATAATATATAAGTTTATATACATCATATACCGGGAGCGTTTAGTTTTGCCTCGCGATTTCATTGAGACCTTGCAACAAATCAGGACTCACGTCCTATTAACCAACCTTGGTGATGTGGTGTTTGGAATTTAATTCTGGACCTTTCAGCAGAGCACACCAATAAGTTGTTTCTTTCGCAGGGATGGTTACCTATAGACAAGACAAATTGCAGTAAGAATTATCAATTAGTGACACAATAGACAGCTAGCAGGAAAACGCATAGGCATCAGTAAGTTTATCTTCTTGGTTATGCGCGATTTTTTTCTTGAAAACAACGCGTTCGAACAAATTATTGTAAACGACGAAATCACAGCTTCTTGGCCATCAAATATGTTTCCCAGTGTATTAAACGTTACAAACAACAAAAACAAACTTTAAAAAACTGTTTGGCTAATAATTGTTTTAAAACCCACAATTTCAAACCGTTTTAAATTTTATTTTCTTCAGTCAAGTTTATCCATTGATGCCTAGAACATAAATTTCGTTTTTATATTTGCCCGTGTTATTAATTCCTTCTTTTAATGTTTTGCGCGATTATTTTCATGTTCACTCGATTTGCTGACAGCCTGAGTTCCTACTGTTGGAATTTTGACAATATTCGGGTCGATACACCTCCTTTGAATACATGTAAGAGTTTTCGACATCGAGAGAAGGTTTTTCGGTGAATAACTAATCAAACTCACGAGTAATTCACCTATGGAACATTTTATAAGCTTATTGCGAATGCTGCTGTTTTGATTTTTCTCGCACAAGTTTCTACAAAACATACGATAATTCCTCGCGAAGCGAGGCGCGGAGCGCCGAGCGAAGTGAGTTTATAATCTCGTCGCGCGCAGTGTGTGAACCGCGCGTGGGTCCTAGCGAGCTGCAAAGTCGCAACTTTCATCTTTACTTGTATATATCCGATGGTGTCCGCCATGACGTCATACAGTAGTGACGTCACGGCGCATTTTTGTCTCTAGGCAACATTCGACTGAAAGCAATTTCAAATTCCCATCAATGACCAAAGCACTCATGAAGAGCTGTGTTTTCGTCGTCTGCAAAACAATGTTTACTATCGGTGAATCTCAAGCCATTTCTCATGCAAACAGAACAGCAAACACAAGAACGCCGAATTGTCAATCTTCGCAGGGGAAGATTTGACACCGAAAAATCCTCTGGAGCGAAGAACGCCGACTTGAAATTCAACGGCGCAAGCAACAAAGATGGATGGAGATGGTGGCAACAAACAGCGGAGCAGAGAGAACATCACTCAATGAATTTCAAAAGCTAAAGTTCTTTAAGAGCAAATGGAAGCGATTTTGGATAATTAGCCTTATAAACATGAGCGAACATCGCGGTAACAAAACACGTTTTGCTCGCAGACGAGTTTGTACCGTATCGTCCTAGACTGTTGGGCTTCCATACTCTACATGTAAATGCGATGAAATGCATTTACGTTGGGTTTTCACTGTCCAAACTGCAGTCATTCTTCTGAAAAATATCTTTGAACCAATGTTTAATAAGGCTCGAAGGTTTTAATAATAAAAATTCCACGAAATTGTGCGTGTGTTCCACGTGGTCTACTGGTAAAGCTTTCGCCCGGTGCACCGAAGGGCCCGAGTCCGAATCTGGGCAGTACGTTTTTCTCTTCGCTTCCTTTCTTTTCTTTCCTTCTTTTTTTTCTTTTCATTTAGTTTTCATTTTAGGTATAACAGTTTTGTCATGTTTCTGTATATAGCTCACAATTTTTGATTGACAAATTTTCTTCTCCGCTTTACTTGCCGTTCCCCCCAAGTCCTTCGCGAGGTCCTGCGATTTACGTATTTTTAGTTACATCAAGATGTTTTGCTTTTCGCGAGCTAATCACGCAAGCACGAATTTGAAAAAGTTTTGAGTTGAAAACTCGACAAGTTTACTTTATTTACCCATTTCCTCGTCGGTCGAAACTTGAAAAATCTTTAGAAACATGCCGTGTCAATTTTTTCTCTTTTGAAGCTTCTTGAGCTGACATTTTAAGCGCGAAAAACCCGTATTTTGGAAAGTATCTTTTTTGCAAAACAAAGACTGATTATGCGTACAAGCTTTGTGTACAAGACTTGGCGACTGCTAAGAATTTCTCTTTTAATCAATGTTCTAAACAAGAGAGTTTTGCTTTGTTCCTCGGGAAAGTTATTTTATAAAAGCAATAGAAAACGTTTTTCCTGTGTTTGCATATCCTGATATAAACACTCTAGGGGTTGGGAGAATTCTCGACAGTTATGCAAACCCGAGACGAAGTCGAGGGTTTGCATAACTGTTGAGAATCCTCCCAACCCCTCTCGTGTTCATATCAAGAAACGTTTTCTATTGCTTAAGTGTAGGTTATTGGCTAGGAAACTGATCTTCCGTTTAAAATATCTTCCTCATAATGAAGAACCTTTTCATTCCCAAACCCCATAAGGTAAAATTAATGGATGCATGACAACGGATAACTTGATCAATAACTACGTCCTATTCAACGAAAACTGATAGAAGAAGAAATAATAAAGAAAGAAAACTTCGATAAATGTCAGGCAGTCCTAGGTTGAGAACAGACCAGTTTCTTTAAACTTCCCTGAGGACGTTGCGTGTACAAAGACGTTTTTTTCTCTTCTTTCTTTTCGAAAAGATCGGCGAGCGAGCGAGAGCGAGAGCGGCGCTGGCGGTCAATAAAGCCCCCGCGGATTTGTTTTTGATCACGCGCGCTACTGAGCACACTGACCCTGCCAGCAGTAGCTACTTATATTTCGTACGCCTGGCTGAGTCCGTATCGAAAAAACTGGCTTCTGCTCTCGAGGCAAAGATAAATTTCTTCGTTAACACAGTTACAGGGACTTTTTGGCGCTTTTGTGCGACTTCGATCTAATTTTAGCCCCAATTCTATGGAATTTTTCAGTCTTTATGCAGCGGTTCCATAGGGTGCAAGTAATGAAAATTTTCATCGCCTCAGCTCTATGTTTTTGCTTGTTTTTGGTAACTCACTCCAAAAAAAAATGATATCGCGCCGACAGTTTACAGCGCTAAAAGCGCTGAACAAATAGCACGGTATCGTACTTCTGCCGTGTCATTTACAATATCATTTTTTTTTGCGTCTTTCACCTACAATGATTATTCTAGCCTGAGTATCAGGCCTTCCTAAGGGGCTAGGGGAGAGGAGATTTTAGATGGGGGAGGGGGGAGGGGGAGAAGAGAAAGGAAGGCCTGACACAAAACCATTCAGCAAATCGTGTGACACATCCAAAATCTGGATGTGGCAGTGATTGGATAACACACAATACCCACTGACGTCACCGACCGCAAGAGCGATCGGCAAGGAGAAGCCATTGAAATTTTTCATAGATGTTTTGATTTCATGTTACCAGTATGTGATACTTTTATGGACAGAGACGTAGAGAGGAATTCAAAAAGGCTCTAGAGGGCGCTCTCAAATTCTTTCCTGGAATAAAAATAAAACCCGAGCAAGAATTGTGTTTTCAAGGCCTTGTAGTTTAAAGGGAAGATGTACTCGGAGTATGGAAAAGCCTCACTGTACCAGCTTCTGCCGAAACTATGTCCGAGTATTGGTTTCACAAGACCGGGACAAAGAAGACGATATTAGTGTTTCAGATATCTAAGTTCTGATTTACAACATCCTGCCGTTAAAAGGGTATTGTTACTGTAAATGAAAATAGAGCGAGGCAGCCATGTATTGAGATAGCCGACAGCACCAATGCTTTTAAAACGCTTGACTTTGCTTGTGGCGGTTACGATAGTGTACGTGATTGGAATTCGTTCGCTTCCTCTTCCAAAATTTTCTCACTTTTGAAATGTCTTAAGCTCAAGCGGGCGCCATCATATTTCGCCAACGGGATTGAACCAGGGGCACCCAACGAGAATATAGTTCAAAACCACATAAACATGGCATTTTTGAACGTATTTTAGTATTTAAACAGTAGATAAAGGCATATTTTTATCCCCTAAAAATTTTTCATCTGTTCGGATTTCCTAGCTGAAAGTCTAGTGATCCGAAAATTATAGGGATCAAACCTTACCTTTTCGAAAATTTCAGCCAGAAACAAGGCTTCCGAAAATTCTAGGTGACCTTTTTAGGGTAAAAATCCGTTAAAATGGGCAATTATACCATTTTTTAGATGTTCGAAAATCCTAGGAGAGGCAGGCAAGCAACAAATTTTACAAAAAATGATCCGAAAATTCTAGATCTCAAATCGTCTTCCGAACAGATAATTTTCCGAAAATTGTCGTTGGGTGCCCCTGTTGAACTTTGCTATAGGCTCTCACTTCTTTTTGAACTTGTAACAGCTTTCACGAGCTCTCTGTGAAGTGGTGGAATTTGCTGCTGCTTGATAATTTCTAGGCATAGGTGTTTCACCATAGCACCTTCCTATTTAGTCTTGCAGCTCCTTTCAACCACCCGAGAAACGAGGGATAACATCAACTTTTTAGCTGCCAGACAAGCGCCTTATGTAACTCTGTAAACAAAAGCAATTTACAATTTTCCGGGCACACGTTTATTTACAAACAGAGCGTTGGCGATCTTACACTAGCACAATTCCTAAAACATGTATAATTCCTCAAAAACGGCAGGTTTAACATTACAAGTATTCGAAAACTCCTCATTGAAGGTTTCAGAAAAAAGGGAAATCGTAGCAACACAAGCTCCGGAGCTCGGCCAGAACGTAAAGTGAGATTTATTTTAGGAGAGCTTTTTGACACGTGAAGCTGACAACTCAATGACCGGAAGTGATTTTGATTGGATGGTATCGAATCATGCTGTGTGGGGGTGGAAGGCTCCAGTAAAAGAATCTGTGTCAGGCGTTTCTCTCCCTTTTCGCTTCCATCTTTCCCCTTTTCCCCAGAGACGCCTGATACTCAGGGCTATGATTATTCCGACTATATTATTTCCTGTTGTGGACGAGGATAAAAACTACTAGATTCTTATCTAGTGCAAAAAAAACGTATTTAGTGAGAAATTTTCGCTGGTTCTAATAAGAACAAGGAATTGAGAAGGTAATTGAAGTGGTTGTAGACTGAACTACCCTTATCCTTCTCTTCCGCGGCCCCTTATTCCCTGGCATTGTGTATTGTTTCACTGGGGTGGGGCAGGTTGTGCAGCCATTTCATACATTTTTTTAAAAGCAAGATGTACCGTATTTATTCGATTAACCGCCCTGGGCCCTTACTAAATTCTTGAACCTTGAGAGTGGGCGCTTATAAAATTTTCACCCTTTTCAACAACTGTGGTATGTACATTTTTCAACAAAACAGTAAATGGTAAGGCTTATTTGAGTTTGAGTGGGAGTGGGCGGGAGGTAGCGTGGGGTGGGAGTGGGCGCTTATTCGAGGCTGGGCGCTTATTAACTTTTTCCGCCTTTAGGATGGGCGCTTATTCGAGGTGGGCGCTAATTCGAGATTGGGCGCCTATTCGAATAAATACGGTATGCTGGAAAAAGAGTTCGCGTGAAATGTTTTTCTCCCTTACATTCTTTGTAGTCATAGTGTATTTTTTCCAGCCAGTCTCACTGATGTTTCTTTTGTCTAAACTGTTCAGCAGCAGGATGGTTTTAGCTCCTCTGAACTCATGGTATTTGATCTCTGTAGATGACTCTGGGTCTTCAGAATGGTACGCGAACACAACCTTGGTAGCTCCCACCTGCAACAAAAAATGCGATGATGCAAAAATGGATCTTTAGGCAAGTGTTTCAGCAGCTTAATGTATACCTTTAATCAGCCTGAGAAAACAGCCGACGTCTCGCGACGCTAGCCCTGGTTTTCCCTTGAAATGACGTCTCAGAAACGACCGCAGAAATTCCATACTGATTACGTGTCACTACCTATATTTGGGTAGTGTTTCTGATGGGTCGTGCCGCGTGGGAAATTTTCTTTAAACAATCAGAAGCACTACCAAGATCTGGGTAGTAACGCCTCATCAGTGTAGAATTTCTCTGCTCGTTTCTCAGACGTCATTTTGAGGGGAAACCAGGGGTGGCGCCGCGAAATGACGGCTGTTTTCTCTTCTAATTCAACCTTCAATTCAAATTTGCCACACTTAAGTACAAGAATAAGAGCTTTGATAAAATCAGAATAAACAAAGATACTGTACAGTAAGTGGCGAGGAAACCTTAATGAAATAAATAAGATTGTATAAGAAAGGCCGCAGTTTATAGAGAGTGAGATATGCCGCAGAATCTGATTGGAGTTGAGTTTTTAACACGACGATCATCACAAAAAATATTATTTTATTTAAGTTGTAATGTTATTTTTTAGAACCACAATTCAGATAATAATTCACAAAAAAGACGAATATAGATTACCTCCAGTTTTCTGTCGCTATTGTCACACGTGTCAAATTTTCTCTTAAACTTAAGGAGAGTTTTGCCGCCGCTTTCTTGAAATCCAATGAGTTCGTAATCTTGCTGTTTATCCACCGGTGGAAGCACTCTCGCGTCAGCGTAACGATCCTATAATCAAAACGTTAAGGAAAGGGGACCCAGTATTTAATAGTACGAGTCTCCCCCGCCCCTTCCCTTCTCGGCCTAGAGAGCCTGCGAAACGTCTCTAGCGGCGACGAGCGAGGAGAGACGGCTGTAGGTTACAGAAGGGCTAACAGTAGCGCTTTTCTCCCTTCCCCTTCCCCTCCCCCTCCCCTTTTTGCGCCCGCATTGCTGGTTAGGCTAATTAACAGATACAGTCCAATCCCGGTAACTCGAACCCTCTATAACTCAAACCTCCCGCTAACTCGAAACAATTTACATTTCCCTTCAGATCGTTTTCTACATAATTTTATCCTCGATAACTCTAACTCCCGATAACTCGTACTTTTTTCTATTTCCCTTGAAGGTTCGAATTATCGCGAGTCGACTGTATTTTTATTTGGCTGTACAAAAGTCGTGTAAACGTTCTGGTTTTTATATTTCATATTTCACGCTCATACCTTAAAGACAGTTCAATTACAGCAGTTTAAGTTCTACACTAGGTATATTTATAACATTTTATAATATTTTTACAAACGGCGCTCCTACCGGGACGGTATTTATGGGGGATTTGTCAGCTCGAGATAACCCCTGGGGCATTTGACTATATACAGAACGGCTGATATTTCACTGCTCTCTCGTTTGTTAGCAGTTTAAAAAAAATGACAAAAACAACTTTCTAACAAGAAAGCTTTTCTTTGCGGGTTAAAATAACATTTTAGATCCAAGCTAAACATGTTGAAACCCTGTAACGCCACAAGAAAACGCTAATACTAAGCGGTAATACTCCAGGGGAGGGTACTCCCTTCTAAGGGCTTAATGGGGACGTGCGGCCAGCCAGGGTATGTTTTTCGGGATTTTTGTCTTAAACAGGGTATCGAATTTATCATTTTTTGTCTTAATCAGGGTATTGATTTATCAATTTTTGTCTCAAACAGGATATCTTTTCTTGGATGATAAACAGCAAAATTTTGACAAGCTCTAATGTTAATTAATATTGACTTCCGTTGACTTAAACAGGGTATCAAAAATCGGAATTCTGTCTTAAACAGGGTAGGAAAATCAGCGATATTTGTCTTAACAGGGTCAGGGTATGAGGGGCTGCGCCGCACCTCCCCACCCAGGGATATATCGAGTGCCCCCCCCCCCCGGGTTATACTAAACGCTACGTGTACGCCTCCCACGCAGACGTTCTTTCTGGTTCGTTACGCGTTCCTACCCCACGTGGGGCAGGAACGCGTGACGAAACCGTGGGAGGCTACAATAGTTTTAACTATAACCCGAACCAGGTTTAACTGGCTGCATTTGACATGAATGCCACTCAGTCAAAGTAATTATACCCGGACAAAAAGTTATGCAGGACTAGCTACCATAGCCTACGTTGCAGCCGGGACCTACATGATAACTCGATATATCGCGGATTTAGACTTTTATTTGCGACACATTCTAACGCACCGGGTAAACGCGTAACAAACGCGAATCTTTTGCTAGGTATATATTTCACGGCACAGTCAGCAGGAAACTTTTAGGAAGTGTTTTATGTCCGCGTCATTGCCATATTTATTAGTTACGCAAGCCATGCATCGATTCTGGGCAAAGTAAAAAAAAAAACCTTAGAACTTAAGCTGCATGAAAAATATCAGAACCAGACCATATATTCATTGTATTTAATATTGTGGGATAAAATCATATCCTTACCCTTGAAACAAACAGTACCTTAGGACATCATACACTTTATGGATGAATGTCAAGAGTGCAAGACTTTCCTGGAACATCGAAGGGTCTCAAATTAATAACAGTACTACTGCTATTATCGCTCTCAATAAAAATGTATTTCTTTTGTTCTTAAGATTTGATTTGCTTTTTTGGGGGGATTACGTCATTCGCAATCGAGTTGTTCTTTATGAAGCCCACGTGAACCAAACAGGATTGACGTTCTTCTGAATGCCGCGGTACAACAACAATGTTTTGACAACACCAAAGTATTTAACAGTATCCTTACCGTTAGATAACCCTGGTTATCTTTGACCCATCCGATTACAACATCACTGTCAACCATTTGTCCAGAACCAGTGGAGAACCCAAATCCAACCCATCCAGTGGTCTCCGCCTCCAAAGCAAAAGAAACTGTTTCAGCGTCCCAATCAACGGTCCAAAACAGCTTCATCTTCTCCTCTCCGTCTAAAACAGCATAGTGAGCGTATTCCGAGAGTAAATCTGCGGAAGCGGTGTAATAAAAGGCTGCGAGATAAAAGAGAAACCAAAGTGGACCAGCCATCTTGCTTGCTCTGCTGATACTGTAGACTGAAACGCCGTACTACGTACCACGTGCGTTTTGAAAAGACATCTGATACATTTTATTTGTTGCTCTATTTTTGGTGGGGAAGAGGGTGGGGAGACACCTATGACCCGGGGTAATCCAAAAAATCCGTAGTGCTTCCAACAATACCTAAAAAAAATCCCTGCACCAAAAATTAACCCCTAAAAACTCCCGGACCGAATTTTTTTTTTTTACTTTTCCTGAGACAATCGCGTTCATGTATCTCAGTGTTTGAGGTGAGATAAGTAACATATGGGAAACAGAGTGGCTATTGCTGAGCAGGAAAGTGTTCTTAAACTGCGGTTTGGATTAAAATAGCCGCAAAGCAAGTTTGATTGTATTTTGTTCGCAGAAAAACACAGAGTACGAGCAGCCTCTCTTTTTTCTTAGTCCGTCGAGCAAAACGCGCGTGACTGAAGGCGTCTCTCGCGCGCGTGCACTCTCCTCACGAAATCTGAAGACTGAAAAGAGAGACTGCTCGCGCGCATTCTAAGAAATACGCGGCCGGGATACGAGGGTACTACCACAAATCTTCAGATTGTTTTGACTACCCAAAAACAGCTCTACTAAAACCAAGGCAACCAAAAAAATACTTACCAAAAAAATCCCGGAGTCGAAAATTTCAAACTCCAAAAAAATCTTTGATTATCCGTATCACTTGAAATGCGCATTTCTCATTTTTAAAGGAGCTGTGTCACGAAATTCAGCCAAATTAGGAAGTTACAAAATGCCCGTTAAATTAAGAGAAACATAGGAATAACCGCTTAAAACTTTAAAGGAAGGTTGAAATATCATAACAGATTCAACAGATATCACGGATGGGCAAAACTGCAGAAGATTGAAACGGATTGAAATTAGGGTTTTTGAAAACTGTTCGGCCTAACAGTTTTTCAAAGTTGATCCCTGCCGCTTGCAACTTCAAGAATAATGTTCAGGAGACATATTTGTTTGTCTCGGGTCTCTGATTTTGTCATTTACATGTAATTTCTTTGCTTACTTTAAGTTCCAAAGCGATTGAGCGCGAGTAATTAGCAAAATTAAACAAAATGAACTGGACTGCCGTGACACAGCCCCTTTAAAACAGCGAGAAATGGTATTTTTGTGCTTTACATCCACAATAACACATAAATAAGCACTTTGCATGATTTTAGCCACACGATTTTCTTTTATTGTTGAAAGAAATTGAAAAATCATGTACTTTCACTCAAAAATGGCTTAACCACCTGCTACTTATGACGTCATATCTGGTAACCATAGAAACTGACCATCACTGAACTTGTCTCAAAATGTGCGCGAGGTATAAACAAACAGCTACTGAAAACGTCAGGTGGTGACGTTTTATCCTCTAGGAAAAAACCAAGGAAAACCTGACAGAGGGTTATGTCCGAGGGTTAATACGAACCAATTCAACGAGGTATCGCAGAGTTCAAGGGTTCGAATCCCATACAAGCTTTAATTTTCTTCAGGCTTTCTTTTCGCAAGTGCAAAAGTTGCGTCTATAACTGCCATGATCTTTCATATAATTCTTCACCCCGTAGTTCTCATATATGATTTTCATATGTTCATAAAAATATCGAGACAAAACAACTTTAGCTAGTTAAAGCTAGACTTTAATCCTTTTTTGCCGCCAAAAAGCCGGCACTTTTCGCTACTAGTGGGCTATAACATATAGCCTAGTAGTAGCTCAACCAATCAGAAAGCAGCATTGATAATAGACCTCTAGCTGGATTTTACTAACATGGATTAGCCAACAAAGTTGTCAAAACTTGCAGAGGAAAGAAAAGAATATGGAAAGGGGAAGTTGGGAGAGACACTGGGCAGCTATATATATATGGGTACCATTTATTTTACTCAGTCCTAGGCCAAACGTCGAAATTTTTTATGAGACGAACCAAACTTTGTGATGTATTGTTTTGTTCAAATTAGTCCCTGCCATCGTACTTGAAGGTCATAAGAACTTTAAAATTCTTTTTTAGTTGATATAAAAAGTGACAAGAAAGGTGAAAAGTGCTAAAGTACTCTAAAATAACGCAGTCAGAGATGTTGTTATAAAGTATACAGATCTTGAGCCTTTGTTTTATTTCAAGACTTCAATCAAAGTAGAGTATAAGAAACACTATTAGCTACTGTTATAAGACTTCGCAAAAATGGCATAAACTGAAAAAAGTTTGTGCTTTTGCACTGATTTCACCTCTGAAAAGTGTTAAGTACTTTAAGTTGACTCAGTCAGAAATATTCTTAGACATGAAGTATACTAGGCTTATATATACACGTCAATGACTTCAATCAAGGTAGAGCTTAAGAAACACTAAACCTGTTGAAGTTGATATATTCTAAAATAATTCGTATTCGTGCACTGATTTCACCTCTGAAAAATGTTAAAGTATTCTAAGTTGAGCCAGGCAGAAGGTAGATTTTGTTAGATATGAAGTTTGCCGAGCATACTGAAGTATACCGAGCTTTGTTTCATTGTATCACTTTAATCAAAGTAGAGCTTAGGAAACACTACACTCAGGATGACAACAAAATAGGTGGCGCAGGAGATAGTCATGCCAGCACCAGATGTCTCAACAGGACACGTCTTCCCAGGGGGTAGTGGTTCCGTGATTCTAGGTATCGGCACTCTGAGCTTTGCATGGGGACCCTTAACGTCCTAAAAAAAAATAGAAAAAAATATATTTAAAAAAACTCGGAAGGAAGCAACTGAAAGGAATTTAATTGTGCTTTGATGATATCCCAGTTTCGGACCGGGACAGAGGAAAAGGCTTAAGATTCCTTTCCATTTGCAATTGTCGACGCCTCTTCTTAAACAATACTCGCTGGACGTCTTCTTCCTCCCCCCGGCAAAATTAATAATAAATAAATAATTTTAAAAAACAACTCTGGACCCTCTCTCTCTTTCTTTCTCTCAGGAGAATGTACTTCAGCGGATTTCCTCTGATCTAAAGCACTGGCATCGCGCGAAATGTAGCTCTTTTATTGTAGAAACAAGGTTTATTCATAAAAGATGTTCCTCAAATGTTTCTGGTATATACCGGATAGCTTACCATGTCGACATGTATACTACGCTAGCCCGGCATGAACACCTGACTTCACTGTCACCAACGATAACGATAGATCGGCTCGGAGCAGTTACGCTCCGTTACAGAAACCGCTTCGAAAACGCCGCTGATATAGGTGTGCAAAACGCTCCCATCCGATTTGGTTTTCGAGCCGCCACAAGAGCTATCCACTATCCAATACAGCATAGCATCCGATGGTACGAAAACTTTATAAGTTTCTTCGTTTTATTTTTTGTTTGTTTAGCCTTAGATGACTGCTCTTTCAGATCCATAACGAGAGCAAGTTAGTCAATCGATACTCACCGCTAAGGAGGTTGCGTTTCTTTCCCAACATCCAGGGATCAAAGTATCAAGCTCACTTTCGTACTTTCTGAGGTCATTCGCCAATTCTGCATCCTGCCAATTAATGTCCCTATATACAGGTCTATAGTATAAACGTTCAGAACGGTTTGCCTCTGGACTTTTTGTTGTTGTTGTCGTTGGTGTTGTTTAAAAAATACAAAAGAATGAAATCTTTAGATCATTGAGGTAACAAAAACCTGAAAATCAACTACATAAATAATTAATTTTTTATTGTTATTACCATTATTATTATTATTTATCCGCATTTCTATTTATTCATGTATTATTTTACTTGTTTAAATATTATTACTATTATTAATATTATAAGTAATACTGGTAAAAGTAGTTTAGGGGGCCTTTGCCTCAGTAAAATTTTCTCTAGGAACTAGTATGTATGGCGAAAGACTCTTAAAAAAAGGCAATGAAGTTTTACAATATTTCTTTAGTGTTTGGTTACTTATCATAAGTCATTTGTTCGATACTTGGCTTAATTATAAGCTAGTTAAACTGTTGGTTAGTAAGTCATTTAGTCAGTCAGTCATTTAGTCAGTCAGTCAGTCAGTCATTTAGTCAGTCAGTCAGTCAGTCAGTCAGTTAGTTAGTTAGTTAAGTCTTGCACAATTTTAATTAATTTTAGAAAAGTCATCTGACTGTAATTGTGCAGGATTCACGCTGTAGGACGGTCCGACTTCATCCCTCCCGCTGTTGCACTAATTTTCCACATCGGGTCAGACGTCGGTAAGAGACTGATAACCGAGACCCAGGGAACCAATGAGAAAACCAGAAATACATTATTCGAGATAAAGAATTCAACAAAAACGCGCTTACAGCAGCTTCCCGTCTCGCTTGCTTGAAGATTAGATCGAGAAATGAGGAGGAGCTTAATTCTACAACAAACAGGATTTACTCGCTTAAGGTTTTTCACTTCCTACTTCATCGTCGTCGATACTTTTTACCTGTTTCTGAATTGATTTAGTACGCGTGTTAGCGACGACCGGAAATACGTCTGCGGTCGCAGGCTATACACGTGTATAAATACACGAAAATTTAAGGGAAGTTCCAGAGAAATTGTATCATTGCCAGAGATCAAAAAAGTGATTTACATGGCACGTCATTTTAATCATCGCCGAAAATAAACCGCATACTCATCACAAGACTCATTTGCATACAATGAAAGTTTACTATACCCGACCATAGCAATTTTGCTAATGAAGATTCTTTTTTTTTTTTTCGACCAGTCACTGAGTGTTCACTTGTTCCAGAGTAATCAACGCTTTCAAGCGATAGAATTCGTGGACCGACACGTTTCGGAAAAGCTCTAAATTTAATCTTTCCTAAGCTTTCTTGGCAAAACATGCGTGGCTTCGATCACGCAACGATTCTTAGTCCCAGTTTCCACGGTATCCGCTAGGAACGCCTGGCACACTGATGTTCCATTTGAGTATAAAATACGACGAAAAACCCCGGGGGAGTACTTCCAGAAAAATTGGGTAGGGCTGTGCGACACACTTCCTGAAACCCTTACCCTATTTCGGACCAAAATCTGCGATTTTCCCTGCCCTATTTCAGACTTGATCAAAAATTTGATACCCTACTTCAGTCCTGAAGCCCTGGAGCCAGGCGCTCGACCTGAGCGCGTGACAAGCTGTTACGCACGTACACGGTTGGTGTAAACATTAAAAGGGAAATGGTCTTATCGTCAAATGATGAAGAAGTAGCTTCTTCTAAAAAGCATACCCAATTCAAGACTAGAATGCACAAACCACACCCTATTTAAGACCAAAATAAATAGTCAAAATTGATACCCAGTATCTAAGACCAAAACGCCTAAAAAACCATATACCGTTTGGCGCCGCACATACCTAAATGGAGAGTAACCCACTGGGTGAAAAACGCGTAGCAGATTATGAGTCTGGCTGCTTACGTAAGCGAGACTAATAAAATATAAAATAATATACTTACTATAGTTTGTCAACCAGTTGCCACGAAGGTTCATATAACGTAGTGTCACACCATTTGAGGCCTTTAACACGAGGATAGTAAAGTAAGAAGTCCAAACACATTTCCTCGTATGTACCGTCACCTCCCTAAACATATGAACGAAAAAAAAGAATAAACATAAAGCGAATCTATCTACTGTAAATAAGTCTAAATCATGGTCTAAATACAGTCTCCTCTGAGGAAATTTAAAACGTAGAATCCGCTTACTTCGATTTGTCTCAAACTCGCATCTATATATCGAGAACGAAATCTTATCTCTTCCTACGGCTTTATTCGATACCGTTATTAATATATATTTTTTTTTCTTGTTTCAAGTTTATCCCGTTTTTAAAACGTCTCGGAAAGCTTAACGGCGTTCTACGGCAAAATGTTAAGTTGACTTCAACGCTTTACAATTTAAGTTCTGTCAAGCTAGTTTTAATCAGAGGAGGGGTTGAGGGATATCTTATTATTATTTTATTATCATCATTATTATCATTATTTATTTTTTTATTATTTTTTTTTTTGGCTCGTTACTGTTTAATTATTTTGGGCCATTCGCCTCTAAAATTTTGCCATAGACGCCAAAAAGCTTATCAGGACGTTTTCTGGTCACTATCTTGCCAGAAAGAAAATAAACAAACAAGGCAAACTAAAAAGAAAAAAAAAAGAAATACCCAACTACCTACGTTTGAAAGTATAGTATTATGCTGGCTACCAGTTTTGATGCATTAATATAACAGGTCATTTATATAATTATTTAATTTGGTTGGTTGGTTGCTTTCCCCTTTCGCTTTCCTTCCATGAGTACTGTTATTTTGCTAGAAAGCTTTTTTCCTGTGAAAATTGTTTCCGAGGAAACGACAAGTTAATGAACTTACTTCGATCGGTTTATCTCTGTCCATTGAATCATATTGACAGTAATGAATAATGTCGTCTCCCTAAAAAAAATAATTATTATTATTCATTTTGTTGCTAAGTGAATTCTCTTTTGCCTGACTGGTTAATTTTCGGTCCGTAACTCGGTCTACAGACTGTTCAGACTCCTCTATTTTTCCGTAAGATCGTCAATATCGAGCGCTTTGCGTTTCAGGCTGCCATCTTGTATGAGTGTCAAAACTACTTAGGGGTGGGGGCGGTTTGGAAGGAAGCGAGAAAACCCACCTCACCCTGGAACTATAATCCCTGACGCCCGCCCCGTCGGTACATTTGAGAATCAAGATGGCCGCCATTAACAGTAAGGCGCGCTATATCTCGACAATCTCAAGAAAAAATAGGGGACTGTGAACAGTCTACTCAGGCTACGGACCAAAGTATAAGGGCAACGATCTTTCACTTTCCTTTAATTATGCCTCTTTCCAAGCGTGTCTAGTAACAAAGAAGCAAACTCAGAATGAAAATTTAGTTTTATTTAAGGTAAACTAGAACCCTTCTTAAAGGGGCTGTGTCACGGCAGTCCAGTTCATTTTGTTTAATTTCTCCAATTACTCGCCCTCAATCGTTATGGAACTTAAAATAAGAAAAGAACTTACATGGAAATGACAAAATCAGAGATTTGAAGCTGCAAACAGCAGAGATCAACTCTGAAGAACTGTTAGGCTGAACAGTTTTCAAAAACCCTAATTTCAATCCATTTCAATCTTCTTCAGTTTTGTCCATCCGTGGCATCTGTTGTATCTGTTGTGTTACTTTAACCTTCCTTTAATGTTTTAAGCGGTTATTTTTACGTTTTTAATTTAACGGGCATTTTGTAGTTACCTAATTTGACTGAATTTTGTGACACAGCTCCTTTAACAAGAAATGCGCATTTGTTTTCTTGCTTTAGATTTTTTAAAGCCTGACTGTCATCAGGAGCCGATTCATAAGACTGAAAGCTCTTTTTTCAGGGTTTTTTCCACGCTCAGAAAAACATTCAAAAAGTTCGTTTTCTTGGTCTGTACTGTTAATAAATTACGGATCGAATATCCTTGCTTTTCCCAACGATTTAAAGCCCTCACACTTTACGCTCGTACCATAAATCGCGGGAAAAACTACAACCCTAGTCAAAACGTCTTGGGAGACTTGAGGAAATTAGGCGCAATGAGGCACTTTGCTAAATTAACTCATATTCTACCTCTAAAAAAAAAGCTCGGGATGTTGTTATGAGGGGATATTTCTGCTGTCCCCTTCTCCCCCAAAAAGTGTTGATTGTGTTGAATTAAAACTTGAATGCATAACGTCAACACTGCACCGGGGGGGGAGGGGGGAAAGATGCCACATTTTCACGAGCTATTACGTTAGTGTCCCAAGAGTTTTGACCAGGGTTGTCGGTCCGCAATGTACAGTACAGCTTTGGCAAATAAGAGGTTTATATGCCAGAAAAGAAGCAACCAATAACTGTTTTACCAATAAAACTGTTTTGGGGTATACAATACTGACAGAACGAGTGATGTGATCTCATCCGCATCTGAACAGTTTTTTCATTTAACTGTGCCTGAAAATATTGATAATTTGCCATTTCATTTGAATTATCTCTACTCAGCCGGTTTTTCAAAACGCAGTTCTAACGTGCTAAATGATCAAAAATCTGATAACCGTTTTTTTTTTCTTTTTTTTTTTTTTCATGTTTTGTTTTGTTTTTTTTTTTAAGTTGCTCCTCGAGTGCATCATGAAATCATAGTTTTGTAATTACTTACTGGCTGAATGTTTATTTCTTTTCTTAACATTTGTGTGTCCTATAAAAAAAGGAAAACACTCTGTCACATAAAAGTGCTACTATTATGAGTTCGAGTAAACTGAAAGCATCTGCGTGTTACCTTTTAACAAGAATCACCTATTCGGGAAAGTATTTCTCTAGATAAATTGTTGTTTCGCACACCTGAAAGTTGAAGTCGTAGTGATCATCTCGAGCAATCTCAGGAAGTTCTTTTCCTTTACGAACGTGCTTAGTCCAGCTTGCACGTCCTGAAGGAAAAAATGTTCCGAAAATAAAGGTTTCGTGGGCTTTTAGCACAAAAACAGAGCAAAACAGAACGGATTAATCTGCATCAACATCAAAAGCAACAATAATGTTAATTGATCCTTTCTTCATAAATAAAACCAACAAAATATCATAGTCGTCATCATCAGTGGCATTGCCATCTTTCTTGTTAAGTCGTGATATTAAACAATTTTTCTTGCTCTTTATGGCTGACTGTCGGGTAAAAGGGCAGGCAATCGACAATTCGCCCCATGTAAAGGAATCCAACGCAATCGTGGATTCTGGATTCCACGCCTTGGAGTCCCCGTTGATTCCTGAGGTACTGGATTACAGTCAGTGGAACTTGGATTCTGGAATTCAATCGTTAGTGGGATTCCAGATTCCTCGAGCCAAAACCCAGGATTCCAGATTCCACAATCAAAATTTTCCAGGATTTCGGATTCCATACAAATTTACCCGATTTCCGGAATCCGAATTTCCTTACATTAGGTTATACAATTTAGTCTCTATCACGTTTACCTGCCAAGTGGGTGTGTAGTCCTGCAGCAACTATGTTAATCCCGCCTTCAGGTAATCCAGTATTCTTCAACAAGTCCTGAAACAGTGATGACGCCGTTGGATTAATTGAAATGCTAAACTTTATTGCAAAATAAATAGCGGCCTGAAGATAGACATGCATTGAGCGCCGACTTAAGCATGTTACATTCCTGAGAACCTTCACAAAACAGTAAGCTAATTGAACTTTTCTAATATCTTTATTTAAAGAAAACCTGTTTCGAGAAGAAGGGTCACCCTCTTTGCCGAGTCCACTTTAATAGCGATCGTTTGTATCGCAAACTGCCGCTTTAAAGCCCCCCCCCCCCCCTCAACTTATAACCTCTCCACACACACACACGCGCACGCCTGATATAGGCCCATCTACCTGTAAACCCAAGAATATCCGCTAACAAGCTCCACTACCTTGTATTGATTTTTGAAATAAATTCGTCTTTGTGCGACATTTTGAGGATTAAAAAAAGAGCAAAATTCAAAAAGTATTTTGATCAGCAAGCAGTGTTATGTACCTTGTTTTAAAACGCTTTTTAGTCCTGTTATAAGCACAGATTTTTATTACATTTTTTAACGTCTTATACGGCTGTTAACTGTGCCAAGTTAGGAAACACTATGGATTGTACATACTTTCCAAGGGAATTGCCTTAACATTAACATTATCGACCAAAAACGTCTTAGAAACTAACCTCTGTGCACTGGTGCATGCAGTATCCAACAGATATCCAGTTTTCCTGCTTAGGAGGAATAATGTGCCAGCGATTTACTGCGACACCAACAGCTGCAATCGCAGCATCATACTTTCGCAGCTTGTCTGTGTAGTAGATAGTGAGGCCAGAGCTGTCTTTTTGACCTTAGAACAAATCAATCACTCTATGAGGAATAAAGGGATTGAACAGTCCAATCCTGTATTAAGAAGCCACCGTATACGCGGCAAAATTATCGAAAATTGTAGAACTGGCGTCTTTTTAGTGGTTGCAGTCTCCTTTTCCTAGAGATCCCAAAGAGTTAGGTTTAGTTTGTTATTTCCGCCTTTATTAGGCTGCCATTCCTTTAAGAGATGTCATACCAGTGCAGCCCCAATTCTGTATGGCGTTCATAGGGTTTTGGCCAAAGGAGTCGTGAAATGCCGATTACAGCTAATCTGACTTTTGACTGATACTTTTCCATGTTATCTACTTGGTATATGCTGATATTTTTTAGACCAATCAATCCGGGTATTAAATGAAAGATCAGTTAAGCAGTTGGGCATTCACCCAAGGTGCTCCAACTTTGGATGTATTCAAAAGTCCAAAGTTGAAATACAGTGGGAATCCGTTAACTCGAATTCTAAAAGGGAAAGCAAAAATAGTTTCCGAGAATTAGAGAAATCAGGGTCGATAGAATATTCAATTAGCCATGTTAATAATTGAGAGTACCAGTTTTTTTAGGCACTTCGGTATGCTACAGTAAAGTGCAAATTAACTTATTTCAATAGAAAAGGCACCATGATTACGCATTTTTATAAAAAGTGATCTGTTCTTTGCACCATTTTCCAGTAAAATAAAATTGCTGTAGTGTTTGTTTTCGTGTTTGAGTGTTTTTACTTATTCCAATAGAAAAGGCAACTTGATTACGCATTTTTATAAAAAATTGATCTGTTCTTTGCACCATTTTTTTATATTATTATTATTATTATTATTATTATCATCATTATTATTATCATCATTATTATTATCATCATCTAATTTTCCTATGACAAGGTATTAGGTGTATCAATTCAAAACTTTGTAACTATATACCTTACTTATATTAAAATTCGCGCAGTACTAGATTTCGCACAGCGCTGGGTGCGCCAATTTTAGTACTCCGCGAAATTATAATCCGCGCGAAAAGCTTTGGTGTAATATGAGACACGCATTGTTAGTAATGCAAATCAGTTGATTTATTAACGCAAACAGCTATTTCGAGGCAGTTTGTCGGAAAAACTGTGCAGGCGACAATCTCCAAAGGTAATATGGGATATGATCAATGCACTTTTCCTTGACACTGTAGCTGTCGAACCTACTTTTGTTACTTTCCTTTAGCACACGCAAACATACGTCTCTGGCCTCTCCTGCCAGTCTTTGAAATTTCTTTGAAAAACAGTGAGCTCAAAATCACCCACAATACCTTTCGGGATTGTCGCGTGCACTTTTTCCGACAACCTTTCTTGAAATAGCTGTATACTCATTTGACATAGGTTTTAAGTTGAATTTTGCTTACATGACATAATTTGGAAGGCATTTTTTAAGGGCCACCTAATCGCTTTTTGATTAAGCTAGGACAAATATTGTAGTATTTGTTGAAAAAACACTCATTATAAATGCATTAATTGTTAATAAAAATGAATAAACCTTTAACAAGTTTTGGGTTGTCGTAATGTGTTTCTAGCAGAAAATTCTTGGGCGAGTCACTTGATCCGATCGGCAAACCTACATGTGGAGGATAAAAAAGACCCTGAGGAGAAACGTAAAAAGACGAAAAGATTAATACCGAGTAAAGGAAATTAAAGTAGAACAACAATAACAACAACAAGGACAAGAAGAACAAAAACAACAACGACAAGTAAAAGAAGAACAACAACAATAACAACAAGGACAGAAGAACAACAACAACAGGGACAAGTAGAAAGATAACAACATCAACAAGGCGTGTACAAGAAGAACAGTAACAACAGGGACAACAACAAGGACAAGTAGAAGAAGAACGACAACAAGGACAAGTAGAACAACAACAACGAGGACACGTAAAAGAAGAAGAAGACTGGCAAAAGCAAAAACATTGACAATGACAAGCAGAAGAACAACAACGACAAGGACAGGTAGAAGAGGAACAACAACAAGAACCGAAGTAGAAAACAACAACAACAAGGACAAGTAGAAGAACAACAGCAACGACAAGGACAGGTAGAAGAAGAAGAACAAGAACAAGTAGAAGAAAAACTTACAACAACAACAAGGATAAGTAGAACAACAACAACAACAACAAGGACAAGAAGAAGAAGAAGAAGAAGAAGAAAATTTATTGGAGGACGCTTCACGTTGTCCGAATAGCGATAGCCTGAGAAAAAAAAGTCGGCATTTAGTAACGCCACCAATGGCTTGCCCCGCAAAATGACGTCTGAGAAACGACTGCAGAAATTTCTGACGCCGTGTCACTCCCCAGATCTGAGTTATGCTTCTGATTGGTCGTGGCGCGAGAGAAATTTGCTTTCACCCATCAGAAACACTACCCAGATCTGGGTAGTGACACGTCATCAGTATGGAATTTCCGCGGTCGTTCCTCAGAAGTCATTTCATGGGGAAACAAGTGGTGGCGTCAAGAAACGTCGGCTGTTCTCTCAGGCTAAATAGCAACAAAAAAAAAACGAGTTGAGCTTTTAAGGAGAGAAAATACAATGATTGTTTAATTACTTATCAGGATAACTGAAAGATTTCTCGCACCCTGATTGGTCAGAAGCTATGTTCGATAAGAGTGCAGACCGTGGAAATGAAGTGACAGTGGCACATTGTGTTTATTCTCTTTCTCGCGCTTGTGATTTACCAAGAAACTTCAACGAAAATGCATGTCAAAACTTTCAGTATTTTTTTAATAAAACAGATCGACAACAACTTTTCATGGTCCTTACTCTTATCGACTATAGAAACGACAAAATGTTCAATTCTTTGCAGTTGAGTTTTCAACATTTTGACGTCATTTCTATGGTCGATAGGAGTACAGATAATGGAAAACTGCTGCCAATTGCTAATTAATGAATATTTCACCTGTCCTCCTATTGCCCAGGCAGCGACCATTGCATAACGCCTGCACTTCTGATAAGGCATATTAGCTCGACTGGTACATGATACGCCCTCGTCGAAGTCTTTCTCAGTAAAATTACCAAAGCATTCGTACATGACCATGTGATGGACGAAACCTTCGTTTTCTTCTTGAATGAGAGGAACGATCTTCAACAAATTAAAATAACATAAATTGTACTAAAGTATATTTTTGTGTGGTAGAATTTTACAGAAAGGAAGTCAACAGAATCCCATGTAGAATTGCTGGAAATTTTCAGTATATTCCATAACTGTCCGCCAAATTTTGGTTATTTCATATTCATTTTGTTTTTATTCCTTACCAAAGCTCACTTAAACCACCAACTGGGTCCATATCCTTTACCCCCGCCCCCGCCCCCTCCCCCGTCCCCACCCTCATTTGGCCTCATCGAAGACATTTACCACGTTTACCACCCCTTGCAGCATCTTTTGAAAACACTCCACTTGCGTCCGTTAGTTTAACCTAATCTAACGCCAAATTCACGTTAAAACGTCTATGGCATATTTTCATTTTACGAGGTGTGGGTAATTAGTTTTTTACAGTTATGCATGAATCATTGTACACTTTTCAACCAAGTACCTTAGTGATGTGGTGTTTTGATTTCAGCTCTGGACCTTTCAGTAGAGTACACCAATAGGTTGTTGATTTATTTCCTGGTATTGTCATCTTAAGGAAAATAAATATCAATGTCAAAATAAGAAACTACGAAAGAATATGCACCTGAAATACAACGAGGAGTTCTATACTCTGGAATTAAAGAAAAGAAGGAAAGAGGTATGTCGCTAGTGGGGCCAACTAGTCTCCGACAAAACAGATTATGTATTTTAAAAAGAATAATAAATGCATAAATGCAAAAACCTGTCAAAAACACCTAATTTGAGGACTCTTTTGTAAATCACTTATCAGTGAAACTGATATCCTCAATAAAGATTATTATTATTATTATTATTATCATTATGTTTTATTCACTCAGCGTGCCCTCAAGTGTTACTCTTACGAGAGCTTTGATTGTACAAGTATTCAACTGTTAATGCGTCATAAACTGCTCTCCGTCCTAAACATCTAAGCTGAGACCACCCTAGCCGAGTTTCCACGAAGCGATACGACGAACATCCCCGTAATTTTCATATGGGAGTCCCCCAAAAAAAAAAAAAAAAGCGTAGGCAACTGGACTCACCTGATGGCAAAAGTGTAATTCATCGTAATTCTTAACAAACAAATTTATGTTTATAGCTCACAGTTTTTCTTTTCATTTTTTCTTACATTTCTAGCAGTCAAATCGATCTTCATCCATCCGGTTTCGCTGGTGTTTCTTGTGTCCACACTGCTCAGTAAAAGGATGCTTTTAACGCCTCTAAACTCATGATGTTTAATATCCATTGGTGATACGGGATCCTCAGAATGATATGCAAACACAACCTTTGCAGAACCAACCTGTAATGAGAGTAATTTGTTAATAGAAAATCATGATCATCAACACTTTTATACCACACTTTATCAAGAATTTGGTCTGCTCTCCACTACTGAATTTAGGGGCGAAATTAAGGTCGAGTCTTGTAATGAGTACACGATCAGCCCCCGGTGTCCTCGGGTACTTACAGGTTACCTGGGAAAAACCGGAAATTTCGGTTGGAAAATAAAATTTCTGACATTCCGTTGGGAAGCTTCAGGAAACATGGGATGTGATCTAATGATGCAGTGATGCAAGTTTTCTCTTTTCAGTCTTTTCAGTTGGGTAGGATATTTTTTATGGCGTATTGTTCTCCCACCTCGTCTTTTTTTTTTTTGGTAAAATATATTCTCACCAGGAACACCAGCACACAAAGCCAAATGAGCCTAAATGTATAAGATATTAAAATAATGATGATGATGATGATAATCATAATAAATAATAATAATAAAACAATTTTGATGAAATAAAAATATTAAAAGATTCTAAAATACTAATTTACAAGCTCACGCCATTATCACTTTCTAATAAAGTGAAAGGTGCTCTTCACCTATAATTTACATGAATATTAAAAATAATAATAATAATAATAATGCTATTAAAAAGCTATAGTAATAAAAAGCTGAAGTAATCTAGAATATATACAAATCAAGTAATCAAATGTACGTTTGCCCTATTTATCAGATACTTCCTCACTTGAGTTTTAAAATCAGTGAAAACTACAGAGTTCCTTGCAGCAGAGGGTAATGAATTAAAAACATTAGAGGCACTGTCCTGGAAAGTACCCGACACAAGGGAGAATTTTAACCTCGTTTCTTTCGAAGACCTCAGTGTCCGAGATGGGTTGTGAGTGTCTAGCTTAGATAGGACGGCCAGTCATTGTAATGCAAGGCTTTAAAAGTGTTAAGTAAAATATGATTCTCTCTGCCTTCCTTTATTGGTATCCATCCTAGTTTGATTACATCCGGCGTATGCGCATAGCGCCCAAGAACGAAAGCTGCAGCGGCCAACTGGACACGGACACAGGATTACATGAGTAACAATGTCATTGTAGTCAATTTTCGATAAAATCAGGCATTCCGCCAGTTGCTTTCGGATATGGAAGAGAGTTGAGTGCTTTAATTTTCTAATTACAGCTGGTGTAGCGTAGCAGCTGGAGATCTTCAAGTTAATCTCCTCCTTCGAGTTGAGGTGCTGATTGACTTGGAGGAAAGTTTGAGACACGCTCGAGCCTTTTCTCGTTAACCGTGGGATTAAGTAAACATGTCTTAAGTCCAGTTGCCCTGGACATTTGAGCTAATGACAGCATCATCACCTGTGTTTTCTTTGGATTCAAAGCTAGCTTACATTCTAAGGACCAGTCTGAAAGCTTGTTTAGCCCGTCTTGAATCACCGACTGGTCGACTTGAAGATCAGATGGCTTGAAATGAGCCCATAAAAGTGATGGAGGTGCTCGTCGTACCTTTTAGGGGTTTATATTTGTGGATTGGTACCCCTTAAAGTGCTAAAACCTAAAATGACTGATTAGGATAACGATTCATGACAATACTTTCAGATGACGATGAAAGTGTTCGAAAGTTATCTTTATTACTATTAAAATTTGCAGTGCCAGTTATAACATTTGTTGTTGTTGAATTGGTACCTCTTAGGGGTGTAAATGAATTTGGGACACGCCCATAAAACAAGATTCTGGTACCTTTTAGGGGTGTTATCGAAATTTTGCGACGAGCGCCCCCGTCTCTTTTATAGGGGAGTACCCTCCCCCCAACCCCCCGGGGAAATGAGTATACATCGCCGTGTCGTCCGCGTACTAATGACATACAACTTCAGATGGAAGAGCAGAAGAAAGGTCATTCACGTAAAGGTTGAACAAAACCGGTCTTAGAGTTGATCCTTGAGGAACCCTGTAAGTAGTACTGATTAGTGCTGATGAGTGGTCATCGACTTGCACAAACTGTGGGAAAATTAGCCCGAGGCTTTGCGAGTCGGTGGACGAGCAGAGAATATGAGGTATGCCCAAGGAGAGTGGGGTGAGAACTGCTATCGAGGGTGCCCAGTTCTAAAATTTACTAGAACTGGCTGAATAATCAAGCAGACTGCTCTTTAAACTGAGGGACAAGGTCTGTGGGTATTCTATGTATTATTCTCCCAGGCCACGGGTGAAAATGTTGGGAACTGCAATGATGCTAATTTGAGCTTTTATGCGTGTTTTCCATGTGAGAATAGTTTCAAGTTTAAGCAGAAGACTTTCACCAGGGTGCTTCGTGTTTTAAATATAGGGGAACCCCGCCTAACGGCCACCTCGGTAAAACGGTCACCTCGTTATTACGGACACTTTTTTTCGGCCCGGAAAAAATAAATCGTTCATACGGCCAACGGCCACATTTGAAATCTCATACAGTAGAATTTCTTATGATTTTTATTTTTTAATGCGGATACTTGTTCGAAATTCAGAAAATTAAAATGCTTATTAGTACTCTGAGCCTGTTCTTGTAATGTTGTTAGTCTACGATTGGTACACATGAAGTGCAGTTGTTGCGATATAGCCGAATTTTAAAAGCATTTTATCAGTACTAAAGGAAAATTTTAAGTAGTTATTTTCAATTACTGTACGCGATATCTACATTCCGGTTGTTTATTAACGAGACCAGTTGTTCAAGAAATGCGAATGCGATGTACGGTGTATTTGTCATCACAGCCCTTACAGAAATTTGGGCCTGCCCCGATAATACGGTCATCCCGTTGATACGGCCATTTTTTTTTTACTCATCGGTGACCGGATTAACGGGGTTCCACTGTAGTAAACACGCCTGGTCTGGAGATAAAAACCAGCGTCTCTGTACAGTAGTATCCAGCGTTGACGCTCAAGCAGGGTATCCCAGCATTATGAATGGTTGGGGAGTGCGGTACGAAAGGTCGAAAAGGGGGTGAAATGGAAAGTGTAATCCGCTACAGTAACATCTGTAGACCTGAGGAGGCTGGTATGGCCAGCCGAAAAATTGTTTAGAAAATAAAATACAATACACATTGTTATCAGCTTCGCAGTAGTCTTTGAACTTCTCGTTTTTGTTTGTTGCTGTTGTTGTTGTTGTTGTTGTTTTCCTTTTTTTTTGTTAAGATCCGGCGCTGACAACCAGCAGGACCTTCGTCCACAGTTATTGCAGTTTTGTTTTCTTAAAATATCAGTTTGGCCAAATTGAGAGCGTTTATGTGAAAACCGTCATAATAACACCACCACCATCATCATCATCAATATCGTCATCATCATCATCTTTGCCGTGGGCGGTATTTATTACACAAAAGCGGTGGGGGAAAAAAAAGTCCCAGTTAGCTGGTAGGAGGCAAACTAGTTCACGGTTGTTCGCCGTAGCTGTAGCCCATAATGTTTCTTGACCATTTCAGCGGAAAAGTTTGTATTATGAAAAAGGAATTTCAGTCAAAAGAAAACGGCACGGAAAAATACTCACCTCGAGTTTCCTGTCACGTGAATCACATGTGTCAAATTTTCTCTTGAACTTCAGTAAAGTCCTCCCGTTGCTTTCTTGGGAATATGTGAGCTCGTAATCCTGTTGATCATCAATCGGCGGCACTGCTTTTGAATCAGCATAACGGTCCTACAAGATGAAGAGTTTATGTGTCGATGCATTATGCGACGACACGAGGACCAGTAGCGCCAATAAATATTCTGACAACAAAAGGAAGCCCTCTCTGTAACTTAAAGAGCAAATCATGATATGGCCACCAATATTACAGGGAACTAGTAATAGCTTCATAATTTCCAACACAACTTGATTAACTCAATGACGAATTGGACGCCATTATGACGTAATATTGTTGAATTAAAGCAAAAATAAACCGAAAAAAACCTAAACAGTAAAATTTCCAGTAAAATCATAAGACCTTTTAGCCACCTTATCAATAATCTTTAACAACAGTAATGATGTCATGATACAGTTATTTATTATCAAAGAAAGATCTTCAGCCATCCGCTTTCCCAAAGATCTACTATTTTGAATGAATTAAAAAAATTTAAAAAATAGATGTTAAAACTCGCTTGCCGGCGCCATGGTATGGTGAATGTTGACGTACCGTCTCAACGACTTTAAAGTGCTGTCTATAACCCGACTAGTGCAATCGATAAAAACCATACCGGAAAATCAATCGATAAATCGATAATAGCCGATAATCACTTTTTGATTGATATCGATTATACCAGTCAATCGATAAAAATCGATAGCAACAGCTTTTTTCGCTGTCAGCGCAATCGATTTTATCCGCGATTTGAGCCATATTATCGATTTCATGATCTTTTATTGCCTTCGAGCTTCAAAACCTAAGAACGCGTTATTTTAGCAATTATGCAGAGGTTTTCTGTTTTAAATGATGATTTTTCCTCACATTGTTATCAAGTTTAATGGTCATGCTACTTCTCTTTTCCATGTAGTTGCGAAGTTGATTATCTAAGGACTTTGTTTTGCATTTTTAAAGAATGATTTTGATTATGCTTTCCAATATGATTTTTGAACTGAGAAGCAAGGGTTTTGCTGACAAACTGTATACTGAACAGCATCCTCACCGCTTGAAATATAGGGTTCAATTGAACAATTTCTAATGCAAGCAAGCTGAATCAGTTGTTTATTCATTTATAACTCTTTTTTTATCCAGTCGATTGACCGAAAATGTTTCGTTAGAATCTTGAGTGTAATTTATGAAATAGACATTGCTACAAAGTTATCCGTCCAAAGCCAAATAAATAATGTACTTAATATGTTCCGGAAACGTTCCTTGCCTTAGCCGCTAAAACACATGGAAATTTAAGCGCCGATGAAAATCGATAACTTAAAGATAAAAATCGATTAATATAGTAATTATCCATTAGCAACAACTTTTTCCTCTATCGGCTTTTATCGATTTTCGAATTAATCAATCGATTATCGATTTGACCGAATGCACAAGTCAGGTTTTAATAAATCAAAGAAACAGAGGTCATAGCTTGAAAGGTTTTGAAGTTATTCTTGAACGTTTAATTGAGGCGGGCTCAAAAACCTTTCCCACCCCCTCTGGTCTGAAAAGGGTTGACTGGCTCAGTTTGTCGCTTGAGATGCCTAGAAGAATAATTCGTCTTCTGCCCTTCTATCCATGTAAAAGTCTTAAAAACACTGAAGAACACCGTGTGCAGTCGAGCTGTATTTTGCCTGCGGGTGTAACGATTGTCAGGGCCCTCTTTACCCCTCTCCCGCAGATCTTTACGTATAGGACGTTGGATCAAACCTCTTGCCCAGGTTCACAGTCAAATAAGGCGTTACTTCTTTTCGGTGAAACTTAAAGTATGGTTCTGCATATTACGCTGTCTTAACAGTTTAATTAGGCTGCGTTGCAGCCGGCCCACGTATCATACAGGCGGCTTAGAGCGTCCGCGAAGCAGGTTACAATTTGATCGGTAGACGAAGAAACCCCGTTACGCCGTTATTTCCTTCATAAAAAAATGGGGAGCTTAAGCAACAGCGTTTTTGACCGACGGACGTCAACCGGAGGTGGACTTTTATTTGCATCATTGGGCACTGGTTTGGTTCAAACGCTTGGGTAAATTGTCCTTATAAGAGTAAAGACACTTAGCAATACAAATTTATTAGCGTCAAGGCACATAAAAGGGAGAACTGGCATCACTTCCGGTTGACGAGTGTCGCACAAAAAAAGTCTTTGATCAAGCTCCCAGCACAGACTGGCCCTGTTACGTCATTGCCTGAGAACTCAGGTATTTATAGTGATCCTAAAGATCCCTGCTACATTTGCCCGGGGGGTGCTCCTGGGAATTCTTGGTGGAGGCGTACCGCTCGGCTTTCCAAATCCTGGCTCTATTTCAGACCAAAAATGTCATTTTCCACACCCATTTTCAGACCTGATTTCTAAAAAAATTCCGTCATCATTATTTACATTAGAACGCCATCGAAAATAATCCTTGAAGTCCATTACCTATTGTCATATTACTCTTTCCTTCTTATTCATTTGGAATTGAAACCACAAATATGTTCATATACTCCCGCAGTCCCGAAAAAATGAAACACAATAGTCACGTTTTGTGTCCTGAAAATTTCACCCCAGCCCTCCAGCCCGCCCCCTACCCTAATCACTGCGTAAAAAAAAAAAAAAAGACAAAACAAATTAAGGTAGCAACAGCAATCGCATATAATCGCTGTACCTCACCTTGTGACCTTTGCGGATTTTTTTCAAGCGTAACTACATAGCTATGAATTGAAATTTTATTCCATTTGTTTCACTACTGACCTAAATACGCGTCATTATCTTGAAGGTACGTGCCAATGGGCAATAGGAATTTTTAAGCACGGCATGTAAAAACCCTTTACTTGCTCTTAGAGGTGTACATATATGAAAAATAAAACGTTGAAGTTTTCCAGATTTCCATGAGGGTTTTCATCTATTTGCAAACATTCGTCAGTTTACGTAATCTTATACTACTGATCTCGCGAGCGGTGATTTCCTCACCGTAGGCTAGCTAGCGTACCTTCGATGAAGAAACATCTGCTCGCAGACTGACACCCAGTTCTTCATTATACGCGGAAAACAAAATAATCAAATGGGAAGCTTAACTTTGTTAAGACATATGTCTCATTAAACGTCTACTAAATTCAATTTATAACCTAGAGGACAATCGACGACTGCGAATTCAAATCGTTGCTCTCACCGTGAGATATCCCTTGTTGTCTTTGACCCATCCGATCACGACATCACTGCCAACCATTTGCCCAGAACGACCAGAGAACCCAAATCCAACCCATCCCGTGGTGGCCGCCTCCAAGGCAAAAGAGACGCTTTCAGCGTCCCAATCAACGGTCCAAAACAACTTTATCTTCTCCGCTGTGTCCAAAACTGCATGATGAGCATACTCCGAGAACAAATCTGCGGAAACGGTGCAGTGGAAAGCCGAGAGACAAAGAACAAGGTATAGCGCGACAGACATTTTTGATATCGTGTTCTTCTAGTAAACTCGAACAAACACAACCTGCAGCCTTATGCAAACACCGAATATAGTACTACTATTTGTTTAACACCTATCACTCCGAGATTCAGTGCCAGTGTGCATGACTCGGCAAAATAATTTGGGGGAAAGGGCTCATTGAGGGCAAGCATAATTATATACTATATATATCGTGCATACCCCTCTGATCGAGCCCTCACTTGGTACCACCGCGGTGACATACGTACCATATATCATTTCGGTATTAGTTCTTATTTTTTTTTATTCATGTATTTATTTCTAGTTTTCTCGGACATTCACACATTAATGGCAAGTACTCTCCCCCGAAATACTGGCATTGTCGAAATTTACACTGTTATACATGCACTGTATCGTCAGCGCACCCCCCCCCCCCCCCCCACCCCACCTCCTTGACCTCACCATATGAATATTAGTTTCGTCGCTGTCTGATGTCTTGTCAAGTTTCTGTAAATTGAAGGGTTTGTTAGTTGGAATATAAAACCAAGTGAGAAAGAAATGAATTTGGTTCGATTCTCAGCAACTATTTGTGGCGAAAAGCGTTAGGTGACGGCACAAAGAAGACAAAAAACGACTTCTGACAGAATTTTGGAAATGCATGTATTTTCTATATCAAAGGAAAGAGAAATCGCCTTTTATTCAAAAAGAACTTTAACTTAAATATTTGGTGGCTGACATCTCATCCGATGCTTGATGCTTTTTCGTGATATTTGTTAAAGTGGGTATGGAAAGGGTTATCACTGTTATTGTTTCTATTATTATTAGTATTATTATTATTATTATTATTATTATTATTAATATTATTTTAACAGGGAAGTAAACGAAAGGGGTACCATTTCGGCAAAACTATAATGGAGCCTCCGGGTGATGAAATATTGTTGCAGCAAATTGGTGCAGCGAAATATATGAACCCTCATCCTGTTTACAACAAGAAGGGAAAGAAAGCATTAAGAGGGCATCAGAATCTGTTTGAGGAATTTCGACGGGTCGGAACAAAAAATGCACTTTCAGAAGAGAGAGCAAAGTACATACTCTGTCCAGCTCAGGTCCTCGACAGTAGCATCACTGAAATTTCGATTACGTTTCTTGACACTCCCACCTTGACAGTGTGACGTCACATATGAAACGGTTAAGATCTTGGCGTGCATTTATATAGGAAAAGGCTGAACCAGCGATTATTTTGGAAACAGCCCCACCTTTCTGTATATAGCCCTTTCGTTGTAAAGCTTCTTTTGAAAACTGCAGACGATAACAAATATACAAATAAAGAGCGCTACCATTGCTTATAGGCAATCATTTATTTGAACGTACCAAAAGCTGAAAACACAAAAGGTGTTAGCGACAGAGATATACGGAGATCAAGATTTGAAATCCAGTTTACAGATTTTTTAAAGGAACTAGAGTTCGCCTGAAATTCTTTTCCGACGCAGATATAAAAAAGCAAATTCAAACTTAAAACCCAAACTGCGCTTGATATTGCAACTCAAATCCTGGTTTTTGAAAAATGAATCACTGTAAGTATGTATAAAAGTAGCGGGAACGAATTTGCAATACGTTCAGTCTCGTCAACAAAAGTTTCAGTGATATGTATCTTGAATAATAGGCATACGATGATACACTTGAATATGAGGTTTGTTTGTTTGTTTGTTAGTTTTTTTCTCTCTTTCTGTACTAAGATGACTTAGATCAGTATAAGGCTTGAATCACAATACAAAGGACCGCAACAAAAAGAGCGCGGGACGCAGTCACGTCAGCTACAGATACCGGCGGAGTAGGACACGTCTTTTGAGGAGGCAGTGGTTCTGTGATTTTCGCGACAGGAACCCTGAACTTTGGATTCTTTATGTCCTGTAAAACAAGACGAGGTAATTTACCATGAATTTTTTTGAGGAATTATCTAATACCGGAAATGATAGAATTAATCCCGAGTTTCAAATAAGCGCCTCCCTGTAGCCTTAAAGTATTTGATAAGCAACCAACCACAATCAGGGTATATGCAATAGGAAAAACATAACATGCACAGTCAACAGAAATATGACCCAATAAAGACATCCCACGATCGCGAGGGAATGTTGAAAAAGACCAGAGACCTGTCATTATTATGGCAAGTAATTCATGGCAGTCTACATATAGACTCCCTAACATTATTTACCCCTTCTCCCTCCATGGCCTGAGAAAATCCGCCGTCATTTCGGGACGCCATCAAACGTTCCGCGAAATGATGTCTGAGAAACCACTTCAGAAAAAGCCCATGCCAATGACGTGTCAGCAGTGCTTCTGATCGGTTGAAGCAAATTGTCATTCAATCAGAAGCACTACCCATATAAGGGTAGTATCACATCTTCAGTATGGAATTTCTGCGCTCTTTCCTCAGGAGTCATTTCGCGTGGAAACCGTTTGTGGCTTCAAGACAGCTGTATTCTAAGCCTACTCACCCACCCCCCATCCCAACCCTAAAAAAATATAACATGAATGGAATATGTTGCAATTACCACTAAGAAAGTGTTTTTAAAATTCACCGTCCCTTGCTCAAAAAGAAGTTTTCATTTTTGGTGTTGAACGGAATATCTAATTCTAAGTAAAATGAGGGTTGACGTAGGAGTTGAACCACTCATGTCTGACGCATGCCTCTATCTCATGACCGTACAGGATTATTGGTAATTTCTAATAAAATCTCACCGCCACTGAAGTTAAGTTTCTCAACCAACATCTAGGTATCAAAGTTTCAACCTCGCTAAGGTACTTTCGAAAATCATTGGCCATTTCATCCGTCCATTGAATTTCCATGTTGACAAGAGGATTCCAAAAACGGCCTGTGACATTCACATTAGGGCTGAAAAAAGTACGAAAAAATAAAAATGGGCTCCTGAAAATGACTATGGTAAGATCCCGTCTCACCCATTCGTCCCTAGAGAGTTTGACGAAGAAGCTAAAGACTGCTTGATGCTATTCGAGCAGTTTATCTTGTCACCATTCGTCCAAAGAAAGGACGGTTGTAAACCGACGTTATTAACAAACCGCACTTAACGCTCCTTTTGTTCCTAAAGCTAAACTGCAGTCTTCTTAGTCCGGACATGTGCAGAAGACAACGTTTTAGACTAAAGGTGACACTTAACCTTTCTTATCATTATTATTATAATAATAATAATAACATTTATTTATACCGCGCCAATTCAACTATACAGTTTTCATATGCGCCTATAGTTATAGTTATCATTATTATCATTATCATTATCATTCCATTATCATTATTATTATCATTACCATTAAAATTACCATTATCGTTATTATTATCATTAAAATATCATTATCATTATCATTAACATTACCATTAAAATTATCATTATCATTATCATTAACATTACCATTAAAATTATCATTATCATTATCATTAACATAACCATTATCATTATCATTATCATTATCATTATCATTACCATTAAAATATCATTATCATTATCATTAACATAACCATTAAAATTATCATTATCATTATCGTTAACATTACCATTAAAATTATCATTATCATTATCATTAACATAACCATTAAAATTATCATTATCATTATCATTAACATAACCATTAAAATTATCATTATCATTATTATTATCATTACCATTAAAATTATCATTATCATTATCATTAACATAACCATTAAAATTATCATTATCATTATCATTAACATTACCATTAAAATATCATTATCATTATCATTAACATTACCATTAAAATATCATTATCATTATCATTAACATAACCATTAAAATTATCATTATCATTATCATTAACATTACCATTAAAATTATCATTATCATTAACATAACCATTAAAATTATCATTATCATTATTATTATCATTACCATTAAAATATCATTATCATTATCATTAACATTACCATTAAAGTTATCATTATCGTTATTATTATCATTAGTAGTAGTAGTAGTAGTAGTAGTAGTAGTAGTAGTAGTAGTAGTAGTAGTAGTAGTAGTAGTAGTAGTAGTAGTAGTAGTAGTAGTAGTAGTAGTAGTAGTAGTAGTAGTAGTAGTAACAGTAGTAGTAGTAGTAGTACTAGAAGTATTTAAAGGTCAATTTGTGCAGCGATGCGTTACATTTAGCAAATAAAATAAGAGGCAGGACTGATCCTAAGAAAGTATACAATACTGGATATAGATTATGAGGGTGAGAAATGACAGAATGGACACATACTTACAAGTACTTTTTGATGAACTTAAACGATGGTTCATAAAACCAATTTTGACAGAACTGGAATTCTTTAATATTCGGATAGTAAAACAAGAAGTCCAAGCACATTTCATCTCTCGTTGCTTCGCCTCCCTGAAAAAAATGTCAAAGTTCGTGTTCTGTTCAAAAGTTTTAAAAGTGGCTTATTAGAGCGTGCATCACGTATAATTTGTTTGAGAAAAGTAAATCGAAATACATGTTTTACAATTGAATAATGCTAAAATGTTACTTAAAATAATAATCAAATGAGGCAATCTGATGGTGGAGTGATTCTAACCAGTCATTCGTTATATTCATGACTCCAGGTGAATCACAGATACCTTATACACGGCAAAACCCACAACATTATGTGTATGTATACCAGGTGTCGTTACTCGATAAACCAATAATCGATAACAATCGTTAGTAATCGATATCAATCTTTTCTATGGATATCGATTTCTGATATCAATCGATAGAAAACGATAACATAAAAAGGTTGTGACTTCGATTGATATCGATTGCCAGTCGATAAGAATAATTGTTTTCGATTACTTTATATTATTATCGGAAAAGTAAGTTCAACATTAACATAATGTTGTCTGTACGATATTGTTGAGTCATTCAGTCGTGAGAGAATGCAGTTCTTTTAATTCAGATACATTGAATTGGATTCCAAACTGAGCGAGATTACAAGATGCAAGATCCAGTCAATTTATGGCGCTGGATTGAATGGGCATCTGACTGAATCTATTAAAGCCCAAGAAACAATATATGGAACGCGAACAAGACCAGGTTTGAAGTGGTTGCTGAAGTCAATGAATTATAAAATGTGTTAAGGTAAAGCCGGTATTGTCGGTATTGTTTGCCAAATAGCATCGTCATATTCAGAATATCTGAACCATATATTCATCAAGATTATTGCTTGTTATCGATTACTATCAATTACTATCGATTTGTTTAATGGATAAAAATCGATGTTATTTTTTCTGTGACTTCGATTCCAGTTTATTGATTCCGATATCATTCGATAACAAAATCGGAGGATTATATCGATTAATATCAATTACATCGATTGATTTAATCCATCGCCGGATTAATTTAGCTACGCCTGGATGTATAGTACAATGCTGATCGAATACACAGGTAATTTTGTACGATCGTAAACTGTTAGCACGACAGAGAAATGTAAGAAAAGGTGCATATGGTTAAAATAAGAACAATATCTGAAAGAAAACTGCATGCAGATGTAGCTAAGTACATTGGACGCTTTCCTTACTTTCACTCTCGTAAGCGATCAGCTCAGCACTGTAAAACTTTGGTTTAACTGTGACTTGAGCACTGTAACGAAAAGCTCTTTTTAAAAGCGACTGACTGCTCCCATGAGTATCTGCGAACACTTTTGGTCGTTTGTTATTAACTTCTCGTAAAAAAACGCCATCACTCCGAGTAACTTCTTGGGAGTAAAAGCCCTGCTGATGTTTTTTTTTTTTTTAACATTGAATGTGTTAAGTAAGACTAAGAAGATGCTAATTTTATTTTGGCTGGATGATGTATTGGCAATAATCAAAATATGGCAAATGCAATTACCTTTCTGCTATAAGTTTAGCACGTGGCCGCTCTCAGTACGAGAGCCATGAATTCTCGTAACCGACCAGCTCCAGTTGCAATTAATTTTATGGACTACCGCGGTGGTCACTTTTGAGATCTATGACTGTACTATGAAATGCCTAAGTGATCATGTCAGTCGTAGAAGGTAAAACTGATCACGACTCGCAAGAGCTGCGTTTTAGGAAATTGAATACACATGTACAACTGTGTAAAGTTAGATCGACGAAGCTGGTGATTAGTAACGTAATGCAAAATACTCACCTGGATCAGTTTATTTCTGTCCATGGAATCGTATTTACAGTAGTGAACAAGGTCATCTCCCTAAACAATATACAGGGTTGAAATTTAAGGGTCCTGTCAGTATAAGAAGCGATTAATCAAAATCACCCTTTTAAAACTGTTGAATACAGACTTTGTTTCTAAATGTTATCATTTAAATTGATTGGTTTATACAACATCCCTCTTTTCCAGCTTTATCAAACCCGTAATAACAGCACGACGAAAATAAAAGAAGCCACATGGAAGCAACTACTTTAGCAGGTTCTAATATTAGCATAAGCTATCAAGATTGTAAACAAATCAAATGGTTGCATTTCTAAACTTAAAAAAGGATCAACACCTAGGATGGACAGAATCGCGCCTTTGTTTTCTGACTATACTTCAACGACAATAAATCGGCTTAGTTGTTGTTATTTTCAGTAACCTGAGAGGAGAGGGCTAACTACGAAATCTACCCTCGCTAACTAAGAAATCTACCCTCATCCCTGCCTAGTCCTTGTACGGTCGTTTGGTCAATGCATTTCGGGGACGTAAGCCAAGAGGAAAGGCAGGGGAACTCACTCGGGCCACGTGACCCGAAACGTATAGGCGGCGTGAAATAAGAAAACACAGTTTAAGGGAATAGGTAATCCCCATGTTCAAGGATTAATCGAGAAAGCACATGAATCGGTAAACCTATGTACACCAGCAAACTACACAAGATACAAATTGGTTTGTTTCTCGTTTTTCATTACTCACCGGCTGAATGTTGATTTCTTTTCTGAAAACTTGTGTGTCCTGAAAACAATACGGGTTACTCTTAATCGTTCAGCATAACTATATGATTTTAATTATCATGGAAGTCTAAAGAGTTTTATTTACAGCAAAATCTTATACCTGAAAATTAAAGTCGTAATGATTATCCCGAGCAATCTCGGGAAGTTCTTTTCCGTTGCGAATATGTTTCGTCCACGTAGCGCGTCCTAACGAAGAAAAAACACTTTAATTGTCAATGTATTTAGCACGAAAAAATATAAGACTGTATTTAAGCGTCTTGCTAAAGACGGGACTCCCGTCCGAGCCACGCGAAGGTCTAGGTTAAGGCAAACTGGCTACCCGGGCTGACTGACAGCCGGGCTGGCTCATCTGATATAAACAGGCCCTAACTGCCAAGAAAATTGAAGTCCTCACTATACATTGGGGTTGTGTTAAGTTTTGTTTCATATTGTGTACATATATAGTTAATTAAGAAACTAGCTCGGGTGAACAATTCTGAGAAATGCACGCATTAAATCAACTGCAGATTACCTGCCAAGTGGGTGTGTAGTACGCCGGCAAATACGTTGATTCCTCCTCCTTCAGGTAATCCCTGATTCTTGAACATAGACTGAAACAGTAAATGACACATATACATTCCCGGTGAATGCAGAATACGAAAAGTATACCTCTCCTACATTTTATCCAGCCTCGTGCCAGATCACAGATGATCCGCTTCCAAAACCCATTAGGTCGGTTATTTAAACGAAGTTGAACTTAGACCGTGGTTTAGGAAATCTTCGGACCACCAGATATCTTCTTAGTGCGTTATTCAAAGAAGAAAAATGCTTTTCAAGTCTATGCCATATGCTTTCATGAAACTGTTCACGAAAAATGGCGTTTACATGATCATGAAAGCGTTCGGCAATACATGCTGAAAATGGCGTAGAACGCGGTTTTGTTAAAAACACTGGAGAAACTCCGTTTAATAACTGGCCCAATAGTCAGTTCTTTCATTTTTCTGTTTCTTTTCCTGGTACTACTGCTCAACTGTTTTCGTGTCTCCTTAATGCTTTTTTTTTTCGCTGCTGTCACTCCTAGAGCTCAGGACGTTGCTGGACTCACTAGGCCCATCAAGATCGATAGCCCTTATAACATAGCACGTCCTTCAACTGCATCTGTTCCTGATACGTTACTTCTGTTCGTCGTTTGACTTTTAATACTAACACCGATCAGTATGCATGTAGATCCTCTTTTAAACTAACCTCTGTGCACTGGTGCATGCAGTATCCAACTGAAAGCCAGTTCTTCTGTTTAGGAGGAATAATGTGCCAGCTATTCACTCCAACACCAACAGCTGCAATCCCGGCGTCATATTTTCGCAACTTGTCGGTGTAGTAGAAAGTGAGACCTGAGCTGTCTTTTTGGCCTGATTAAAGACAATATTTACCATCATAAGGTCTGTCATCGATCGTTTATATTCATACGTTTATATTCCAACGTATATATGGAGTGAGTGGTTGCCTTTTTTGTGCAGAACTTACTAGGGGGCCGTTCGTTATTTGTAGCGGGGCTAATGCGATCTGTTGGCTAGCCCCTGTAGTAAATAATGACCAATTCTTCATTACCGATCTTAAACAATTAAATTCTTCACATCAATAGTTAAAAGAATAATGCTTAGCCAGACTTAAAAAGATAAATTGTCTAAAAGTTAACAAGATCAAATCTTGTGCTGCGGCACCGGTTTATTCTCCTTATCTGCTCTTTTTTTACTACACGTAAGGTAACGTTATACGTATAGGAAGAACGGGCAAACCTAAGGCAACGCCTTAATTAAAATAGAAAATTATTAGAAATATAAACCGACCTTTAGTGAGACTTGGATTGTCATAATGCGTTTCTAGCAGGAAGTACTTGGGCGAGTCGCTTGCTCCAATCGCTAAACCTACGTGCTCCGGATAGTAAAAAGCCTAAAAGATCGAAACAAAAGGAATTGAAAACAGATAGTTGAATGAAGAAAATGGATAATAAGACGCACGGATTGCTTGTCACCCAACTTTTTCCTTTCGAGAATCCGCTCTAAATTCACTTGACAAGTCAATATAGGAGCGTAGCTAGACGTTTTAGTGGTTTGACTGTAAGTTTTCCTCGATCGAGGGTGGTCGACTAGCAGCTGTCGATAGCTGTACAAAGATTTCCTACAAACTTGCAAGCAACCAGTGGCGACAGTAATCCCAATTTCCTTTGTGAATACCAATGATTACGGGGGAAGATAACCTCTATCTTTCTGTTGTTATCAAATATATTCGACATTAACCAGTTACGTACCTCCGTACAGACCCCGACAGTTGCTCAAAAGGTTGACTGAATGGTATCCACTGGATAGCGCAATTCGTTTCCATAAAACTTGATTTATTCGGTGGATAGCGCAATCCAACGTTTGAACAACGGGAGCCACGGTCGCCACGCTCCTGCTTAATGCATCATACACTTTTTTATGGTATCAACTGATCAATGGTTTAGGTTAAGCGACGGCGTTATTCTGTTACGGACATATTAGACTAGTAGAGGTTAATTTGTGAAAGATTTGAACCCAGAAGTCATTTCAAAAGTAGGTTGAGTTTAATCGTCCAGGTAAACGCGTAGTCCTGAATAGAACTGTTGTCGTTGACAGTGACTGACGTTTCGACAACCTGTGCGGTAGTCATCTTCAGAGTCAAAGTGAGTTGTATCACGTTAATTTAATCAGGTAATTTAGAGATCTTACCTGCCCTCCCACAGCCCAAGCAGCGACCATTGCATAACTTCTGCACTTCTGATAAGGCATATTGGCTCGACTGTCACAATCCACTCCCTCATCAAAGTGGTCCTCAGTAAAATTGCCATCACATTCGTAAAAGATCATGTGATGAACAAAACCTTCGTTTCCTTTTTGAATGTAAGGAACAACCTTAAACAAACCACTAAAATCAATATTCTATACCACAGAACTGTAAAAAAAATCATTCAGCACTCCAACTGCAACAGATAACAATTTTCGTCCTGACTACCAACCTCATTAGGAAGGAGGGTAACTGGAAACTAACGAGGTTGGTTTATACGTCATTTTGTATGACTGGCTGTTTTCACACTAGAGAGGAATTATCCGAATGACACGTCTGTTGTTGTTGTTTTTGCGCCACTGCCCCCTCCCCCTTTCCACCCACCCACCTTCCTCTTCGCCGTGGTGGTAAAGTCCGTAAGTTTATATGAACTGATACTTTGCAGTCGAGTACCTTAGTGATGTGGTGTTTTGATTTCAGCTCTGGGCCTTTCAGAAGAGTACACCAATAGGTTGTTGAATAGTTTCCTGGAATAGTCATCTTAGAAAAAATAATAATAAATATTACAATGATTTTCTACGAAAAACATTTAGCATAGTCTTCAGGACTTCAGGTTCTTCAGTAAACCAGCATTTTCGGCTATACAAAACAAAAATTAGCGTTATCCTTAACAAATAATATTAGAGACATTTATACGAAGAAAAATAAGACGAAAACTTCCCGTATAAATAGCACATTTCGCCTGAAATAAGACGCGTCTTATATTATCTAAAAACAGCCCTGAATACGTGTTCTTAGATAAGACGCGTTTTAGCAAAGACGAGCTAACAAGAGAAAAACTTCGTACAAATGACCTTCTTGTCTTATTTAAGACGCGAACGGATCGTACTCATGCTTTAATTTTTGGCGGGAAAATTTTCGCGTGCCCCGCCGCGGACCGACATAGAAAAAAATGTTTACAGCAAATTTCAACGCGTTTTCGTTTCCCTGGGCTGCCATCTACGACTTTCAGCCTGTCTCTTCGCTCAAGAAATCAATATGAGCTCCCCGACAAAAGGCAATAGAAATGTCGAAGGCCTTTTTGTAGCTGTGCAAAGAAAAGCAAATTGCGGACCTCCTCGACAAATGTGTTACACCTGCTGGTGTAAGTAGAAGCTTTTTAAAGCGCTTGCAATCACAATTAATAAATAATTAAATTGTTATCTTCGTATCATGAACTTACAATAAAACTTACGAATAACTTAAAATGAGGCTAGGTTGCCATTGCTATGGGCAACATTCACCTCAAAACGAGTCCCGGACAGAAATAAGACGCGATCCATTTATACGAGCTGTTTTTGTCTTACGTAAAACATGCACATTGTACCGTTAGCGTCTAATTTTTCCACGTATAAATGGCCCTCTTGTGTCTTAAAACACATTGATATGGTGGCATTTTCGAATGCCCAAATGAAGGGAAGAGGAGTAGCTCCGCCGCAAACGTGTAATTCATCAAAAGCGGCCATTTTGACTATTTCTTACATTTCTTGCAGTCAAAGTGAACTTCTTCCATCCATCCTCTTTAATGTTTCTTTTATCCATACTGTTCAGCAGTAAGATGGTTTTAGTGCCTCTGAATTCGTGATGTTTCATTTCTGTTGTTGATACTGGGTCTTCAGAATGATACGCGAATACAACTTTGGTAGCACCGACCTACAACAAGTGAGTCATGCAAATTAAAGGCCGATACACACGAGGGATTGTGCTCCCGGAGCATGCTCCAGGGGCACGCTCCGGGAGCAAAGCTCCTCCGTGTGTACCAACGATTTCATGGGTGTTCTTCATCCTCGGGAAAAGAATTTCCACCCCGTTAAATGCTCCACGATATTTAACAGGTTAAGTATTTGGGAGCAAGCTCCCAGGGCAAATTGAGCGAACTTGAAAACGCTCCCTCATGTGTACTGACACGTGCGAAATGAGCCTGGAGCATGCTCCGGGAGCAAAACCCCTCGTGTGTATCGGCCTTAATATTAGACAGTCAACAGCTTCTACTGACTCCCCGTGTACAGCGGAACCTCGAGTCGATATAACGAAGGGCTAAGGGACTGGCAAAATTTGTTCACTATAACAAGGTTTCGTGAAATCGAAGTTTTTTTTCATATATATTACTTTTACCAGGGTAAAGAAAATCGTTGGGGCGATGGTGAGTCCCAAGAGAAATTGAAAAATTTTGCCTTTTCGTTTTTGAAAAAGGTATATTATCATAAAATGTCGGTCAGACAAACAAAAAAGACTGTTTAATCAGATAATTGCACACATAAAAAGTGTGTCAGTGCTTTGTGATCTGGCCGATGATTTCTGGCCACGGTCTAGTCTATACATAATGCCCGCCCCACTGAAAGTATTGCGTAAAAATAAAACACGTACCTCAAGTTTTCTGTCACGTGGATCGCACGTGTCAAATTTTCTCGTAAATTTCAGCAACGTTTTCCCGTCGCTTTCTTGGAAACCTTCAAGTTTATAATCTTGCTGCTCGTCGATAGGTGGAATTGCTTTTTCGTCAGCATAACGATCCTGCAAAAAAAAGGTATTTTGAGTGCAATTTGCCATTAACAGTAATCACAGATATGCATCATAACGTCAGGAAAGTACACCTCACCATGTGAAAGTAATTTAAATTCGTAACTGATAAATTTTCCATTCTTTCGGTGCTAACCTGTGTGAAGACGCCTGGGCACGTCTGATGTTTCCAGCAAAGAAACAGCAAATATCTACAAGCAGGCTGGTATAGGGCAGGTTTTTGTCAGGTATAAATTCGGGTACCTCGATAGTAACCCGAAGAACGTCAAAGGGGGTGAAAGAAACAAAACCAACACCTTAACGTTAACAAACGACGGTACCATGCGAACTGTGATGAGCAAGTTTAGTTGACCTTCGACTTCTGTTCGAAAGTGTTGAAAAACAATTAGCTAACTATTTCCTTCGGAACAACGGGGTAAGAGGAAGAGATGAAGTACATTAGTTTACTAACATGTTTTCTAATTCTATTAAAATGGGATAACATAGAGAAAGAAAAAGAGTAACATAAATTTTAGCATTCGTTGGACTTATTGCTTACGCGGGCATGACCTCACCCTCCCCTCCACCCCCGCCTACAAAAACAAACAAACAGACAAACAAGCAAAAACAGCGGCAGCTGGTAAAGAGCGCATTAATTCACCTCTTCCTTGTCATTTTAGGATCGCGTAGGCGTGTGAAAAGGCGAATCCTTGTTTACATTTTTTTGCCTCATTAGCATAGGTTTATCATTATCTAATGAAGCTAATAAAATGAAATTCCTGAATATTGAAAGAACAAAACAATATCGGTTATCTCTAAAAATTTGAGCCCGATATACCAAATAGTTTCGGAGAAATTTTTTTTGAAAAACCCCAAAGAATTTATGCATGAGATCATTAACATCTTGCCACCCAGAAATTGTGCAGTTTTTATTTGCTCCTATTTTCTTTGTTACTGATTGCAAAGAGCGGAAACCTGCACAAAATGCATAACTTAACCAGCTCTTTTAATTTTTGCACCTAACTGGTTTATATGGCTATATCTTCTATGGGTTAACTCTTATGCTAATAAGCAAACATGTAAACAATGACGTCAGGATGAAACCGCCCATATATAGCCCTACTTGTGTATGTAAGAGGGGATTAGGCACCCTTCTAGCCTGCAAAAACAGCCGTTTCTTCTCGCTCCTCGCAGCTGGGGACGTTTCGCGAGGAGGACATCTGCGACTCAGCCAAAGAAATTCCATACTGGTGACGTAAAATCTGTCCGGAATCCGGTCATAAAAGCTCATTGGAAAACGGAGTAGTTACATAATTGTTTCAGCTATTGTTTACGAATGACAGAAAAAGGACAAAAGGCTTCAAAGGTCAATATAAACGCGAAGAATCTGTAACGGAACAGTGAAATATATTCCTCTCTCGCCAGAAGCATTTGAGTTTTGCTGGAGCTTGTTCGCAGATGAACAAAACACTTTTCCAAAATCGACCAAACGAAACGAAACGCGAGAAGCGAGGCGAAACGGCTTTTTTCGCAGGCTAGCACCCTTCTTAAGGGTCAAAATCGCCCAGAATGGATTGACACACTAGGTTCAATCGATCAATTACTTTCCATAACTTGTTTTTACCACCGAATACCTTAACGGGTTAAAATGTCGGGCTTTCTGTCCTGAATACCCCAGGGCATCGAAACCTGTAATTCATAAGCGAGCCGGCTAGCATCTCTGTCACTTTCATATAGGACCCCCTCCGGTCATGCTTATGTTTTTTTTTTATCAGCATTTTTATTTTTCTTATTAAATTCGCACTGTTTGCTCTGTACATGCCATTGTTTGCTGTTATAACTAAATAAATTTGAAACGGCTCCGCTACGTTTCCTCGGGTGCACCAATGTGAAAAGTCCGAACCCAGTTGAAGGGACTAGTTCCCGGGCCGACTTCACAGAAAAGACACACGTACTTTCAATTGATAGTTCAGCAAGCAGTATTTCTTCTAAAGTTGCAGCGTTGTTACAGACAACTTAATTTCACACTTGCTTGTTCAACTTTTCCCTCTGACAAAAGCCTGTTGTAACTCCTTTTATCCTGACTTGACGCGACAGGTGCCAATCTAAATCATTCGAAATTTAGTCCTACGTCAGTAAAAACCCGATTGGCTGTAAGAAATATTATCATATTTTCCCTCGAGCTTATGGCGTAAAATTCACTTACAGTAAGTCCAGTTAGTGTTCAGTCAAAACAAAATAGTCAGAGAGATATAAAAATTGCAAAGAATGTATAATACATATATGTTCCTGATTCACACTATCGTTACTTCAAAACGTACAAGTGGTCAACTTTTGCACATTGAACAAGTTGTCGTTTAAAAGCTTCCTGTAGGAATAATTAACAATACTAATTTGTTCCGCCTCTTCAATAGATTGACTCAAAGTTGTTTACGAATTTTGCAATATAACTAATTAGCGGACAAATATAATTACACGGAATACATGGCAACCAGTTTCAATCAGTTGTTATCGATCCTACTTAATGAAGTATAACTAATATAAATGGCTTGATCAGGAGATTCCGATGGACAGGGTTTTTGTCACCAAAAACGCAAGCCAACTCAAAGACAAATAAGATCTTGAGAAGGTACATGTAGAAGATTAACAAAAACAGTATGTTCCAGGCGAAACTTTGTTTTTTCTGGAAAGGATTTGTTTGGTCACGTAAAAGTCAATTAAGGTGAACGGAACTTATCCTTTGTTTTACCAGCGCGTTCAATTAATATGAACAAGCGCATATTTCAACAAAAGATGAATCTTACTATTAAAATCACTGAACGGCCGGTACGTGCGTTTTTGAAATCTCTCAACCAAATCAAACCGAGTATAATAAGCCTTGCACACTTTTGCGTAAATAAAAGAAACACTAAAAATAATTCAAAATATTGTTTTTTGGTGGGGGGCGTACTTTAACACTTTTAATCACTGTCTCGATATATTAGACCCTCATTTTGCAAATGCAGACCTTGTTTACAGGCTAGCTTATACTGAATTAAATTTTTTGTTGCTGTTGTTAGCAGGTGTTGTTGCAAAACAAGGCGGATTAACAAGATTGAGTTTGTTTATCTTTGGTTGTAATGAAAAACATGTTACATAATATTTTATACCAAATCTCTCCGATTCACGAAAACGAAGACAGCACGACTCATTTGAAAACAGGTGTTCCTAAAGATACCGCGGAGCTTGAGATCTTGAAGCAAAATTCTCACTTTTCCACGACTTCGCACTCAACGAAGTTGTCTTAGCGACTTAACGTTCACGGAATGCATCCTTTGTTCATTTATTGCCGGTGGCAAACGGAGATACGAAAGGGCGTTGAATGCAGATCGCTCTTAATTCAGATTTTTTTCACTTACCGTAAGATATCCCTTGTTATCTTTGACCCATCCGATCACGACATCACTGCCAACCATTTGCCCAGAGCGACCAGAGAATCCAAATCCAACCCATCCTGTGGTGGCCGCCTCCAAGGCAAAAGAAACGCTTTCAGCGTCCCAGTCAATGGTCCAGAAGAGTTTTATTTTCTCTGCTGTGTCCAAAACCGCATGATGAGCGTATTCCGACAGGAGATCTGCGGAAACGGTGCAGTGGAAAGCTGCTTGATACAGAAGAAAGAACAGCGCAACAGGCATCTTCATTGCTTGTCCTGCTAGTAATCTCAATCTAAACAATGCTCAAGCACCCCACCCAATAAAATTTGTTTATCATCTATCATTCGGAGTGTATGGAGGCGGGGGAAGGGGGGGAGTGAATTACCGGCTTACTTAGGCCAACTTTGGATTATTGGAGTGCTTATGTATATGTTGTGCTTCTCCGCCCTGTTTTTTATTTTTATCTTATTTTATTTTTTTTTTTTTTCTACACTCTTTTCGATTTCTGCTGAAGTAAACCACAATCATTTTGTGGATGAAATTTGAATCTAAACCGTGTTAATTCAACCCCTTTCCAATCGCTCAGATCAATAGTTTAGCTTACAGCAATGTTAAAGTTGTCAACCTACGGGACATTCCTAACGAAAAAGCAAGTACCCCTCCCCCGGAAGGGTGTCTAAATATGACATTTGTGTGACTAATTGTTTTTCTAGTGTTGCATTTCCTTTTCTGCATGTTACATCTGTACGGGTTTTCTGGTTCACCTACAACACGACAGAAGGTGAGAGATATAGAAATGCGGAAGAAAACTTTCCCAACTTCGGACGCCAGTATTGAAATGCTTGAAATATTTCAGCTTACTTACACTTTAAGAGTCAGGTGTAACCAATGGGAAATATACACCTCGTAAGGGTCATAAGTGCAATGTAATTTAACACCCATACATGCAATCATAATGACGTGTTAATTAATTGTGAACGAGATGGACTGAGTAAGTCACGCTATCAGCTACGACGGGGGGCGGCGGGGGGGGGGGGGTATTCTAGAGTATGAAAGGTGGAAAGGTCGCCGAATGAAATGATGACAAGTGTTAGTATTTTACCTTTTTTTCTTTTTTGGCAGTAGATGTCATGGTTATGTGAGAGTTTGTTTTAGTTTAAAGCTTATTTAAACAAAGGTATACAAAATTGTTTTAAGCTTGACAAGTTTGCAAATCCTTCTCAAATAATGATTTTATTCCTCGCTCTTTCTTACACTACACTGACTAAATGAATATAAGACTAAAAAAATGTGACAAAATGAATTTGAAATTCTTTTCATCTGCTTTTACCGTATAAAGAGCCGAACTGGCGGTCATTGCGGTTCATTTTTTAAAGATGACCAGTAATGTCACGAACTGTCATGGCTTTTACCTTGACGGAGTTATAAAGTTAGCTGAGCTATCAGTGCTAATCCGCATGTAATTGAAAGTTCTTCTGAGCTATGTGGACGAGTTACAACACAGTTGTATGCCACCTAGCCTGCTATTTGAAGAGTATGAAAGGTGGAAAGGTCGCCGAATGAAATGATGACAAGTGTTAGTATTTTACCTTTTTTTCTTTTTTGGCAGTAGATGTCATGGTTATGTGAGAGTTTGTTTTAGTTTAAAGCTTATTTAAACAAAGGTATACAAAATTGTTTTAAACTTGACAAGTTTGCAAATCCTTCTCAAATAATGATTTTATTCCTCGCTCTTTCTTTCACTACACTGACTAAATGAATATAAGACTGAAAAAATGTGACAAAATGTATTTGAAATTCTTTTCATTTGCTTTTACCGTATAAAGAGCCGAACTGACGGTCATTACGGTTCATTTTTTAAAGATGACCAGTAATGTCACGAACTGTCATGGCTTTTACCTTGACGGAGTTATAAAGTTAGCTGAGCTACCAGTGCTAACTCCGCATGTAATTGAAAGTTCTTCTGAGCTATGTGGACGAGTTACAACACAGTTGTATGCCACCTAGCCTGCTATTTGAAGAACTGTGCTATTTGAGAAGGGGCCTAGTGTACATTCGGCTTGGTGTACGAAGAGCGCCCCCAGTCTCCACCAGTTTCTAGAAAAAGCAGTCCGAAAATATGTTCAAAGCTGTTGCTCACACAATCGGAAAACGCCTAACCACCACAACTTGCTTTCTTCGTTTATAAACAGGTTGGTAAGAGCTGCTTGACAAGATTTTGAGTTTAGAGGTAAGAACTTCAGCCTAAGGATCTTCAAAGTAGCACGCGGGCAAGCATTTCATTTGGAAATCATGAAAGACGAAAGATGCGCGGCCCGAGTGAGCCTCGGCTCAAGATCACTGTAGACAACGAGCGAAAAGTTCAGTCTGTCCCGAACCCCCACGACGTTATCGGGCAATTTTTCCGGTTGATCAGCCGTCTAACCTATTAGAGACCTTTAGTTTCGAGGACGAATGAATTCGACTACGAAGACAAGATTTGGCTTTAAGATTTTTCTGGCGTTCTCAAAAATAGACACTTCGGAAAGAGTAACTGTACTTTTTTTCACCCGAAAAATTAGTACTATAGTTGTCATTCTTGAAGGAGGTTAAGCCGTGTTTCCCGAAATGATGAAACTTCTAACATTTGATAAGTAACTTCTTTCCGTTACCGGGACATTCTCGTTAAAACCCGTATTAGGGAGCTCACCACCGTTTTCGTTGATACGCCACTTTCGAAAACAAAACACCCGCGGAAACGTTTCCAAAATTTCCGTCAATCATGCGTGTTATCGACAGATCGGATCGAAATCCACCAATCACAGCCACTAGTGTGACCTTCTGACCTCGATAACACGCATGATTGACGGAAATTTTGGAAACGTTTCCGCGGGTGTTTTGTTTTCGAAAGTCGCGTATCAACGAAAACGGTGGTAAGCAACGACGACGGCGACGGCAACAAGAACGGCAAAAAACCAATAGGTTTAGATTGGCAAAATAACAACTTTGCACGTACTTCATGCTCTTTTGTACATTTCTTAGCTGTCTTTGCACAACTACAACGTGAAAGTGCCTAATTTCACGCTTTGTCTAGGATAGGAACACAAAAAACAATTTTCTTTTTCCGATTCCTCAACTTTTGATACAATGCTTTAGAATTCAACTCCAAAGAAATTTGCCAACATTTGACGAATTTGACGACGGCTATCATGTTTTCCCGCCAAAATGACTCTGGTTCACGCACGCGCACCCATTAGGATTGAGAAAAACTCGTCTTAGTCGTCCTCGTTTTTAAGAGGACGACTAAGTGGGAGCCTGGAAAAGGTTAGCCGCGAAAGGCTGGTCTAGCAATCATTAAACTAAACTAAGACTCTTATTCTCTTGTACACGTCTATGATTACCTACTCCCCCTTAATATTTATTTTTTGTTAAATTTTCAACCTCGGATAATGCATTTCTCGCATTTTGATTGTTTCACTCAGTCTCGGTTATCAGCGTCATATACGTTAAGGTGACGATTCGCAACGACAATTTTTAGCACAACACAGCGTTGCAACATTATTGCGACATTGTTTCGAATGGTTACAACATTGTGCCAACATTGCAACGCCGTGTTGTGCTAAAAATCGTCATTGTGAATCGTCTCGTGTTTAACCTTGTATGGAAAACAACAACACTTCTCACGGAAAAAGCGGCGGAAAAAGTAGACTTCGCGAGCTTTCTACCGACGAAACAACCGAAAAAAACAGAAAATGCCATACCGGCAGCGACAAAGAAAGCCACAAAATTTGGTTTGAAATTATTTAATAGTACTCCGAAGTTTCCTTACATAGTTAAAGAAATTATAAGCTTAATTCTTCCGTACATGTAGGTCGAGCTCATTATGTAACAACAACAACAACAACAAAGTTTACCTTCAAAATTTTCAGAATGGCTCGCAAGTCCTTGCAGGGGTAAGTTTTCAAAACCATTAGCAGATTTTTCGCGTGTTTGAAGAGCTTTTACACCTATTAACACTTTCGCAAGTCCATGACGGACCATAACGGGCCTCAAGTGAATCCTGCAACGAGCACAGGCGGCCCAGACGTAGTATGTGTCACTGAATGAATATATTAATATTCACATGGACAAATTAATGCGATGAGTCGTCGAAACTCCCATGGACTAAAATAGTCCAAAAGTCAAAATATAACAAAACAAAGCTAAGATACCTTCAACTGAACGTATCCTTGTCTTTCCTGGCCGGTTAAAGTGGCATTTTGTTGAGTTTTGCAATTGTAGGTACTATCTACTAAAGAAGAATTAAAGGCTGGCTACAAAACAAACAGACCATCTCCACGCGCCTTCACACGAAGCGCTATAAATTCGAGAATAATCGACGAATCCGCTCCAAATAACCATCGGCTAATCTGCAGGTAACGTGTGCTCCTGCTTCTGGCTCGCTTGCTCCACAAAACCCATCGCAACTGCACAATAACTGCTCGCTCATCAACAACCACTGTTGACCTTTACGCTTCGATATGACCGCAAACGACCAGGTTTAATACGCGACGTGAATATTCAAGCTTAGCGACCACGTTCGCGCAACAATGCAGCACTTGCTATGGAGGGATGGTACTATTGCTTCTAGGTCAATCAACAGACCGAAGGTTCGCAGCGTTAGTTTTGACCAGAAACTGACAAAAGGCGATCGCGGGACCGTCCGTAAGTTTTCAACAGGGCAGCCCTGGTTTTCAAGTTCGAATTCTTCCTACGTTCGCTGTCTCAGCTGCTGTCACATTGTTCGTCCAGCTGCTTGCATAGGTTCTTCAGGGGCACCCAACGGCAATTTTCGGGAAAATATCTGTTCGGAAGACGATTTGAGATCTAGAATTTTCGGATTATTTGTTGTAAAATTTCTTGCTTGCCTGCCTCTCCTAGGATTTTCGAACATCTAAAAAATGGTATAATTGCCCATTTTTAACGGATTTTGACCCTAAAAAAGGCCACCTAGAACTTTCGGGAGCCTTTTCCTGGCTGAAATTTTCGAGAAGGTAAGTTTTTATCCCTATAATTTTCGGATGACTAGACTTTCAGCTAGGAAATCCGAACAGATGAAAAGTTTTTAGGGGATAAAAATATCCCCTATATCTACCGTTTGAATACTAAAATACGTTCAACAATGCTATGTTAAGAGGTTTTGAACTATATCCTCGTTGGGTGCCCCTGGTTCTTGACTCTACCAAACTAATTTGCTTAGATTAGCAACGTCTTACTCCATAATATGTTGTCCAAACTAGTGAAGGAGGACGATAGTTTTTCGCCCAGGAAAAAGGCAAAATCTGGCCCCCGCTATGCAGCTGAATAGAAGATACAGCTGAAGATATCGTAAAGTAAAATTTATGTGCGCGATATCTTTTTTTATTATTATTATTATTATTCTCAAAACTCAGGGGCACCCAACGATGATTTCTCCCTAAATGCATTGAAAACACATCTAAGGCTGTCCAGAGTACTTTTGATCGAAAAATGCATTCTAAACAGAGCTTACATAATTTAGTCAGGAGGGCTAAAAGCGAAGCTAATGATTTATAGTTTGCTCATACTAAATATAAAATATATCGTGTAATGCTAAGCAGAGAAGGCAACGAGACAGGGCCACCCAACGACTGTTTCCTCAAATACTTTCAACTGAAAACACTTTTGTAGCTATTCATAAAGTACTTTTAGCTCTATAGAAATGCATTCTAAGTGGCGCTATAAAATTTGCATCTCAGTGTTCGGCCATTCTAAAGGAACTTGAGTCTTTTCGTAATTACGAGGAATTCAGAATTATTTTCCCCGAAAATTTTAGATGCAATTTAACGTATTACGAAGGAGATAATTTTTCAGATACCTTCTTTCATCACATTTTTGAATCCGAAAATTTTAGGATTCCATTTTACTCTCTACGAAAAATAGCCTAACCCGGTGAGTGAAAGGTGAAAAATTAAAAGTTGGATGCCCTTGACCAGAACTGTGAAAAACAACAATAGGTCTAATTGCAGCACACTTTCTTGTACATTTCCTTGCCGTTGATTTGCATGACTGCAACGTGAAACGTCCAGAAAAGTTCCTGGTTTTCACTTTTTATGGAGAAAATGTGGTACATGTTCTTGTTCACTTTTTCCACTGCCGCTCATTTTTTTTAGCTCCGCTATAAGATTCGTATCTGTTCGGTGCTCCTAGGGCAAATTGGATCTTTTTAAAAATTACAAGGGCTTCAATATTATTTTCCCGATTGATTGACCTAGAAGCAATAGTACCATCCCTCCCATAGCAAGTGCTGCATTGTTGCGCGAACGCGGTCGCTAAGCTTGAATATTCACGTCGCGCGAAGCGCGCGCGTGGGCAGAGCCCCATAGCTAAGGAAATGTGGTAATCTACCCATCCCAGAAAATTTGGTAATCACGTGACTGTACACCGAGCGAGCGAGCGATCGAGCGAGCGACCGTCCGTCTGCACCACAGGCATACCAATGTAAAATAACTCAATCAACAGGTATGGGAACCCAAATGCAACTCAAGGTTTTATTTGGAAGCCTCACATGGCCGCCCGGACTTTTAGAAAGAAAAAAGTCGTGTCTTTTTCGGCGTTATTTTTTATGTGTACAATAACGTGGATAACAGAGAAAGAGCTAGAGCGAGTTATTAAAAATTCGAAGGAAGAAAAACATGATAATTCAAAGCGGCGGTGAGAAAATGAGGAATGTTAGCGGCCAGCAAGGTGAAAATGAGCGGCAGTGAAAATTAAAAGCGAACGTGATGAACACTGGAAACAAAATATTGGGTAAGCACATACGACAATTTCTGCATAAAAATAGTGTGTAACTAGGAAGTTTGACGTTTTAGTCGTACAAAACAGCGTTGTAGTCGTGCAAAACAACGGCAAGGGAAAGACAAAAAAGCGTGCTGTATGTGCAAATTTGTTTTTTGCTAATTAGAAGAAAAAGTGTGCTGCACGTGCAATTTGTTTTTTTGCTAATTAGACCTATTAGTCTTGAAGCCATTTTCACTGTCGTCCTCCGTTTAGCATTACACGATTTAATTTTTTTGTTTACACGTATTATTAACCAGAGCTTCGCTTTTAGCCCTGGCTAAATCTATATATTAAACCTGGTCGTTCGCGGTCATATCGAAGCGTAAAGGTCAACAGTGGTTGTTGATGAGCGAGCAATTATTGTGCAGTTGCGATGGGTTTTGTGGAGCAAGCGAGCCAGAAGCAGGAGCACACGTTACCTGCAGATTAGCCGATGGTTATTTGGAGCGGATTCGTCGATTATTCTCGAATTTATAGCGCTTCGTGTGAAGGCGCGTGGAGATGGTCTGTTTGTTTTGTAGCCAGCCTTTAATTCTTCTTTAGTGGATAGTACCTTCAATGGCAAAACTCAACAAAATGCCACTTTAACCGGCCAGGAAAGACAAGGATACGTTCAGTTGAAGGTATCTTAGCTTTGTTTTGTTATATTTTGACTTTTACACTATTTTAGTCCATGGGAGTTTCGACGACTCATCGCATTAATTTGTCCATGTGAATATTAATATATTCATTCAGTGACACATACTACGTCTCGGCCGCCTGTGCAACAAGCGGCTTTCCATTGAACAACAACAACAACAGCAAATTGATTAATGAAGCTGGGTCTTTGTGCAGCTCCGATTCAGTGGAGGAAGAAAACGAAATTGAAGAGCAATCAGGTCGACCTGACCAGCGTCAAATTCCAGTCACAGCGAGGGAAAGCGAAAACAGTACTTGTCGAGAATAATTTAAACAAAGCGTCCTTCTCTTTCAGTTTTTGCATTCAACTAAGTTCGCAAACGGCGCACAATTGTCATGTGATTTACCGGAAGTTACTAACATTCAGTTGTAAGGGACACTTATGGTGGGGGGCGGGCGAAGTACAGAAAAAAATTCGCTCAAGGGAAAATTTAATTTAAAAAAATTCTTGCACGCCAATTAACCCTAAGAAATATCCATGCAAGGACCTGTAAAAAATTCATACAAGGAATTTGATAACGAAAAAAAATTCCTGCGGCTCGAAAATTCCCCTCCCCCGCCCCATAACTTTCGAGTAATGGTCCGTCCCTAATAACCAGACGGTTGGAGTTAATAATAATAGTAATAACAATTATTAATAAAACAATTATGAGATAATTATCAGATAGATATAAGATAGCAATTATACCCAACTCGGCGCTTCGCGCCTCGTTGGCTATTTACCACCTCATATCCAACGCGCGCTCATGGAATAATTGTTCAATTTTACAACTCGATTAGGAAATATCCAGATTAAGATGGTTTTGAAATAGGTAATCGAAAAGGAACTTGCAATGGAAGGTTCTCCTACGTGAATTATTTCAATTGACAATTTCGCACAAAATCTGATGCAGAATCCGAAAGCTGCTGCTACAAAAATCTACATCTTAGGGTGCCCACCACTTACACAAACCAGCCGGGTGGAGATCTTGTGCATAAACATAAAAGTATTTAAATTCGACGAGGTGAGAGATCGACCCACTAAAAATTATGTCCAGATCAGCTGAACAGACTGAAAAAGCGGGAAAATTCATCCGCCTCAAATCACAGCCCATTTTTTCTGTAGCTTCCCAAACGGAATGGCGCGATTTTCCAACCGGGATGCCCAGTTTTAGTAAGTATCCCTGGTTTCCTAATATCGATAAGTACAACAACAACAACAACAACAAGCTTTATTTTCATGACCGTGCAAGTACATACAGTGTTGCAAAAGCAATTCTAAGAGTCAAAATTACATCATAGTCCAATTACGTTGCTTCGGTAATAATTTGTCGCGAAGATCAAAGCAAGCTGAAATATAGATTATGAATTGTTTACTGACTGAAGTAATCAAAGGAGTTCATCACTTCATTGACTAACACTTTTACAGGTAACTGGGTAATATCTGGAATCAGAGTATTGACTTCATTGTAAAAATCACTCCTTATCATAGGGTATGAAGGACAACGAAAAAGAAAGTGAACGTCCTCTTTATTCTCTTTATATCGCTTTAATCAGATTAGAGCGTGAATCACAACACTCAGGACTCCAGTGAAGAGAATACAGGGCACTGTGGTCTTGTCAGCGTCAGAAAACTGAACAGGGCAGGTCTTTGGAGGGGGCAGCGGCTCTTTGATTTCCGGTACTGAAAGTCTAAACCTTGGACCAATTATGTCCTGTAAAATGAAGCACATTGAAAGAGACGACAAATGGTGTCTGGGAATTTCGCCAAAAAGAGAACAAAGCGACTACGCAAAATGTCACTCAAGAGTTTTCCAGTTCGTTTGGTGAAGTGGATATCCATGCTTACTTTGGACACCTCATCAGCGCAGTACTCTTGGTAGAGGAGAACCATTTAATGTAATTGGGCACATTTATTCATGCTAAGAGAGAATGAGCTAAGAAAGCGAATCCTTCGTACATAGCCCTCTTTCTATTGGTTCTGGGTCATACCACGTGGTTATTTTAAGGACGCCACCTTATTGGGCGGTTAGAACGGAGTCGTGTAATTTTAAACTTGGTGGGTAAATTAATTCATATCACTGCCAGCCTGCGAGCAAGCTCTCCCAGGGCGCTCTGGCGCACGGGCGCTCTGGCCGTACCCTCCGAGAACTCCAGGTGAGCTCGCTCGCAAGCTATTTCACTGCCGATCACACAGCAAGCAACGTGACGTGCGAGCTTAGTATCACTATATATTTTTCGTCGACGAGTTTAAATTGTTTTACGTGGAAATGTCTGTCTTAAATTTGGCTTGCGGAAATCCCCGAAGAAAGCGGTTCCGACTAGACGGAAATTGCTAACCCTGGTCTTCGCCCAGACTGGTCTTCTCGTCCTACAGGGGGTGCAATTAAAATTTCGCGATGAGCAAGATCCCACTACCTATGATATGAGAGTCCTGGGGAGATGAAGGTTTACATGATGCACTCACCTTGATAGAGGTTATGTTTTTGCTCAAACATCTAGGAATAAACGTGTCAGCCTCGCTTTCATACTTTTTCAAATCATTCACCATTTCATTCGTCCAATCAACGTTCATACTTGCAATTGGGTTTCGGTAGCGGTTGGTGACCTTCACCTGTGGACTAAAAATGGCAGACAAATAGTATGGTAAGTCCCTATCTAAGACAACAGCAAAACCTGAAAATTCAGATGTACTGATGTGAGCGAAAATGGTCTTCTACTCATTCAGGACGCCGAAAAGGAGAAGCCGAGATGAGGGTGTAGGCGCTTTTGTGAACGAGAAATGAGGATTGAAGATGAAAGGTAAAGTTTCGACGAAGTAAACCTCAAAATTTTCAAAGCGGCTTTTAAAAAAAAAAATGAGCATCCTAATGCATCGAACGATTTGTGGGCGGAATTTTTTTAAAAGTGTAACCTGAAATTGGTCTCGAATTATTTGAAATAAACCAAGCTCGATGGACACGTACACATTGTTTACATTAAAAAAATGCTTATAAAGCGCGGATTGGCTCATGATCAAAAAGGATGTTCGATTGCCCAGATTTAGCCTTCAAATAGCGTGAATTTAGGGCAAGTTGTTTTGTATTTTGTTTCCTTTTAAACTGTTTTTGAAACTATCGAGTTTAAGGACAAGGGTGATTGTAAAATTCAGACTATTTTAAAATGTTGTAGACTAAGGCCCGGTTCAGACGCTGAACTTCAGTTCATGAGCCAAGCCTAATTTCCTATAAGGCCCACCCAATTTATTTAGATCGGCTGAATTGATTCAGGCGCCCATCTTAATTCCACCCAAAAACAAATTCTGAAGGACAAAAATGCTCATTTCGGTCAAACTGCTTGTAAAATAATTATTTAAGCATTAATTCGGTACGTGAAAAGTGCGGTTCGGTTCTGAATCAAAGCCGTTCCAAAGTCGCTCCAAAGCCGAAATTCTCGGCGGGGTCAGGCAGAAAGAACGGCTGAGCCGTTCCAAATCGAAATAGGTGCTCCTAATTGACTCAGACGCCGAATTTTTCATGTTCTTAATTCAATGTGTTAGGTTCGGCTCATGAAAAGTTCGGCGTCTGAATCGGGCCTAAGAAGATCGGTGATTTTTTGACGCCTCTGGGACAAAAGCTGTTCAAACAATTCATTTGGAGTTGCGCTTCATTTCGCCAGTTGAAACAAGAGGCCATTTTTAAAGGAAAAAACTGGAAATGATTTACAATGTTGGAAAACTTTCAAGGCTGCTGTTTTCGCACCAACTGTTGGAACAAAATATTGAAATACTTACAAGTACTTTTCAATGAGCTTCAGCGAAGGTTCATACAGGGTGCTGGTACAGTATCGGAAATCTTTAATTCGTGGATAGTAAAACAGAAAGTCCAAGCACATTTCATCTCTTGTCTCTAAGCCTCCCTAAAAATAAAGCAATTCTTGATCGTTTTGAAGATCTTAAAGTTAATAATAACACAGCTCTTAAATCACGCAAATGCAAAGACTTGACTCTCCACGAAACGATTTTCAGAATCAATTTACAGCTATTAAAATTACAACAAGACTATTACATGTAAATAAAAACATGTAGGATTTGTTAACCCTCAAGCCACTTTTCCAATAAAAAATGTTTTAATTAGTGACGCTTTAAACTGTGAAAGGGAGCCGGAGGGCGAATTGCGAATGTTGCTAGGGGCAACGAGTTCCAAAAGGCAGTAGATCTATACACAAAATGGATTTGAGCAAAGATATCCAATGAAAATTTCGTACCAGTTAAATTAGCTGGCAACCATTTAGACAAACTTTCGAGGTACCTAAAAAGCGAAATTGGCAGAAAACCTGCTCTAAACCAACGTGGCAGCTTATGATTGTTACGAGTTTTTGGTTCCCCAGCCACAAAGCAGTCACTCAATTCAGTACGCCACGATTTCCCAGATCGACACCACAGTAATTTTAGTAATTCTGGCGTAACATTTCTTCAAACAGATGGTTCCGTTATAAATTAGTGCCACTTTTCTGAACAGTTTATCCTGTTACAGCAGCTTTCTAGTAAACAGTTGTTGATAAAAGAATAATGCGTTAACCATTTAACGCATTATTCAAAAAATCCCGCAAGTCCTGTGAAAAAATACAAAAAAATACAAAAATGTATAGAACTCGTCAGACCCTTCAATAGAACGCTTAAAGAAAGTAATGAGGTCTTGTCTTTAAAGAAACTTACTTGGATCAGCTTATCTCTGTCCATGGAATCATACACACAGTAGTGAATAAGGTCATCACCCTAAAACCAAATATCAAAGAAATATTTTATAGCGGAGCTCGCACGCAGCATAGCCCATAAGAAAGCGAGAAATTTTACTAGTCAAGTCACCGTCCGTCCGTCCGTCCGTCCGTCCACCCCATACATGTAAGCAGATATCAAATAAAGATAAATTGAAAACTGCGAAAATAATCACTCATCCGCCGAAAAATGTCACATGACCGTCTAGCGGGTTCAGGTGTAAGTCCTATCTTGTCGACTGTACATGAAAGCCGATGAAAATTTTCACGCTAGTAGGGGGAATTACATTAACACAGATGACGTGAAAGCAGTTTGCCTTTATCTCAAGAAGAAAATGCTTGGGAATCTGTGATCGGCGTAGCAGTCTTCCGTGTCTCACATCTTGGAATAGCATCCGGGACGTATTAAAGTTCGAGAGTCTGTTAGGGCAACCATGATTAAAGTGTGTTAATTTCACAAACCTCTGTTGCGGTTTTCTATACCACAGATCCCATTATAACATAGGTTCATGTGCTATTGTGAGGTGGTTCAACAACAGGTTTTATAATTACTCCCATGTCGATGAATGCCTTTGTTTTTTATTTGTTGACTAAAAGCTAATTAAGAAAAAAGGTATTCATTGGTTGGTTCATGTTGCCGCAGGAAAGCGCTAATTCACCTGTGACTTAAAGGCCCATTGCCAACCTTGATGTTACGCGGTCGTCTGTTTTAGTTTTGAAATTGCACTTTTTTAAATGGCATGTTCTGATTGGACAAAACTTTTGGGAGGCTTTCTCCCAAACAAGTTTCTGTTTAACATGTAAGCCGCCGTGAAGGTGCAAGGAACCTTTTTTATTTTTCAGATCTGCGCCGTAGCAACAGCCAAAGTTCAGTTATTGACAGCTAGAGTGTATTGCCACGGCTACCAAAATCGTTTGATATTTTCAAGCGAAAAGGTCAAACATAACTTGCTCGGGAAATTTGTTGAATATTATAACTTAGTCTTGGATAAAACTTGTAACGATAATCGAATGTTATGAAAGCAAAGAAGGCTATTCAGCAGAAAATGTACCATGAAAATTCTTGAGGTGATGGTAAACAACGCTTAGAAGAATTATAAATACATTTTTTGACAGGTGCGTCCCAAACGAAAGGGATTTGGAACGGTAGCGCGACTGACAATTGTTTTGAACGGACAGCTCGAGCCGATCGAACTGATGACAATTTTTTCGAACGAATAGCCAGTGCTGTTCGAGCGGGTGACAATTCTTGGGTCATCCTGGTGTAAAAATCTGTGAAGGTTTTTTTTGTTTTCTAGCTATTATTTTCCTTGGCCCTATTTCAGGACCTCTC